GTGGGCGAAGAAGGAGTGGGCGAAGAAGGAGTGGGCGAAGAAGGAGTGGGAGAAGAAGGATTGGGAGAAGAGGGAGAGAAAGAAGGAGAAGAAGGAGAAGAAGAAGCTCCAGAACTACCAGACATCTCCACACTCGAAGGGCTCACCTGCACCAAATTCGGAGGCATCGTGGATTCCAAAGGTGCCCTTCTCGGCGAGCTGGTCGAGGGTGATGCCAAGAAGATCTTCCGTGGAAAGTATCAGCTCGATGACCAAGGCCAGTTCTGGGATCAGCGCGGGAAGGTTGTGGGCAAGGCGAGGCCTCTCCCGGTCGAGGAAGACGAACTTGGTCCGTTCGCCGACCTGGGTGATCTGCATGTAGCCGAGGATGGGTGGGTTGTGAATGAAGAAGGCCGACGGGTAGGCCAGGTGGTCGAAGGGGACGCGCGGAAACTCCGCGGCCGTGCAGTCGACGAGGATGGCGATATCCTGGATCGGCGAGGAAATCCGTTGGGCCGTGCAGAGCCGTGGGAAGAGCCAGAAGAGGCCGAGGGTGAGGAGGCTGAGGAGCCAGAGGAAGAAGGAGAGGATCTGTCGATGTTGGCCGGTAAAAAGGTGAATAAGCTAGGCAACATTGTCGACGATGCTGGTGTGATATTCGGAAGGCTGGTAGCTGGAAATCCACGCAAGCTGGCTGGCAAGTCGGTGGACGAACAGGGTCAAGTGTGGGACTCAGCAGGCCGCGTCGTCGGCCAAGCAGAGCTTCTCCCAGCTGAAGAACGAGACCGGCCTGAGGGGCCCTTCTCTGGCCTCGAAGGCTTGGTGGTTGGCAAGGATGGGTTGGTGATCGATGAGAACGGTGACACTGTCGGGCGCTTGGTGAGTGGGGATCCTCAGCGTCTGCGTGGGCGTGCCGTCGACGAAGACGGGGAGATTCTCGACAAGTCAGGCAATGCGATCGGCCAGGCTGAACCGTGGAGCCCTGAAGAGCCAACCCGCGAAGTCAGCCCCATGGCTGGTCGGAAAGTGAACCGTGATGGCGAGGTTCGTGATGAGAATGGCAATGTGATCGGCAAGCTGACCCAAGGCGAACTCTCCAACTTGATCGGTCGGACTGTCGACGAAAACGGTTATGTGGTTGACAATGATGGTAACAAGATCGGTGAATGCACCCTCTTGGAGAACATCCCCCCTGAGCCGGAGCCGGAGTCTGAGCCTGAACCTGAACCGGAGCTGTCGCCCGAAGAACGTGAAAAACAGGCCCGTGAAGAAAGGGATCGAGAGCTGGCAAAGAAGATGGCTTCCATTGTACAGCAGACGCTGGACTCGATTGAGCCCTTGTGCAAACAGATCACTCAGGTAAGCGAAGACTCTTGAACAGATCGGCTTGTAAACCATTTGGGTTACTAAACCTGTTTGATTCGATAGCATATTGAGCGAGCCAACAGCACTCCCAAGGAGGAGCTAGACGAAGAGCAGCTTGTCAAGCAGGTCAAGCCGCTGATCGAAGAGGCCGGTAATGGCTTGCAGGAGTGCAAAGGTGCTCTCCGGGCGTTGGACCCCGATGGTCAGATTGCTGCTCAAGCCAAAGCGCGCAGTGCATCGCAAGAAGCTAGCCCCGAGGAGCATCATCTAGCTGAGTTGCTCAAAGACCTGACTCGGGTGGTGGGAGAAACGATTGAGAGAGGAAAGGCTCTGATCGCTGATATGCCCCATGCTAAGAAGAAGATCAATCCGCTGTGGACTTTGTTGTCCGAGCCCTTGGTTCAGATCATCGCCGCGGTGGGACTCTTGCTGAGTGGTGTGCTCGGTCTCGTCGGCAAACTACTCAACGGGCTCGGACTGGGGAATCTCCTGTCGGGCTTGCTGGGTGGCTTGGGGGTCGACAAGCTGCTGGAAGGGCTGGGCTTGGGAAAGATAACAGAGGGGCTGGGGCTCGGTGGTAAGAAGTGACTGATCGGTCAGAGGCCGAATGAGACTGTTCTGATCATGCCAGGCAAACTCCGTTATCTCTCAGTTTACTTGCTTCTTCTCGTTCTGTCATTCTTGTATCTTACCAGTGACATGTTCGCCTCAATTTCAAGCATATGAGTCCATAATAACTCAAGACCAAGTTCGTCGTAAGGATCGTGAGCCTAACCATGCCGTCGGGCTACTGCTGCTAGGAAAGCCGCACTCATAGCGGAAAGCACCAGAAACAGTAAAAGAAAGGCGCCGCCCCAGAATGTCCACCACGCTCTAGCATCTCTCCGATCAACCCACAATTGCTTGAGTGTTTTTGGCTGTTGTGTGTCAAGATATGTTTTGAGTCTTCGCAAGCGGGGACCGAAGTACTCGTAGTGTAAAAAAGCCTGATTGGGACGGACATCATGCTGGAAGATCGAAGTGATCATGAATTTGATGTCTTCCGGGTAATACGGAGCGCGAGAGTGGATTTCTTGCATGGATTTGGGAGTGATCTTATTCTGGTCAAAAGAGCCAACACCCTTGATCCTTGCGGCTGAACCAGCGATGTCAAACGCCGCCTGGATTGTCGGTGGCAGAGAGCAGCGGTGGAAATTCTCCAATATGCGTTTGACCGAGGGCCTTCTCACATCGATCTCGAAAGTTCCAGGTAGTGTTGTCTTAGTACCAAGTCGCTCGCTGACTTCAATCCTCCTAGCCGGCCAAGGAACTTCTTCGGATTTGTTTACCTTTCTCAACTGCCCCAGGCCTCCATTCGACGAAGGTCTGAACAATAGAGCATAGGTTTGGGACAGCTCATTGTAGATAGGATCGAGGTAGTCCTTTTTCTGAAGATCCCGGCCGTTGTAGAAAAAAGTCGGATGAGCGAAAACCCGAATCGCATTCCGCCCGGCGAAGATTTTCAGATGATCATCCAGGCAATCCGTCCATTCAATATTCAGTCCACCGAAGTCTTGCAGGTACTGAACTGTGAAAGTATCCGCTGCAAAGGTCGGGCTTGAAGCTTCATCTAGTGGAAGCTCTTTGACCGGCTCTATGCTTATCATCACGCTGCGATGAGACTTGACCATTTCGAAAATCTTGTAAATTGGCTCGTCTTTGTGTCTGAGGTAGAACGTGAGAGATAGCGGGTCTCGAATCTCGCGGAACTGGGACTCGAACTCCAACGCCGTCAGGCAATCGTATACAAGATGATGTTGGTACCAAAGAATCTCGGGCTTGTCGGGGGCGGGCTGTGATAGTATATGCCGAGCATAGCATCGATCCAGGAGTTCTTGGAGGGTCATTTCATTGGGACCGCCAAGTCTGGAAAGTCGCAGTGTCCGCCCGACTTCGATCAACACCCGGAGCGTTTGGTCGGCATCAAAGTAGCGACAGTCAACACATACGCCATCTCGGCATTCGAGGGCATCATTCCGTCGAGCTTCCATGCGAACAAGAATCGAAAGCAGGCGAGGGAGGCGAGAGTATTCGAATGCTGCTCTCGAGGTGTCCAGTGGGCCAAAAATGCGGTTCATCCGATGAGGTTCGATGGCGAAGAGCCCTTCCAGGAGCGTGTCACGGTAGCGGGAGAGGACTTTGGCATCGAACAGGATGTCGTCGTTTCCATGCCATCCGAGCGTGCGGTAGATGGTAGGAAACTGATCAAACGCCGCTTCGTACGCACTCTCCATGGTTTGCCTTTCTGCGGGTGTGGATTTGTGCTCCTTCCAGAAGTCTAAGGGTGTCAGAATCTATGTTTACCTAGTGAAGACCAACATACCCGTATATTCCGCCATGTTAGCCTCATTCTCTGCATCAATCTCCTCCGGTGACATCAACTGCACTGGTTTTGATGGAGGAGCATGCTTGGGCCGTCCATTCTGGATCTCCTCGTTGAGTGCGCTGAGAATCGGATCATTCTGTCTGGCTTGTTCTCGAACTCTGCTCGGATCGCGTCTCTCATTCGCCTGGTCGATCAATTTGATCAGAGCTTTGATCGAGTCTGTCAGGTCCCGCACAGCAGCCATGGCGACTTCGTCGGATGCGACGGGCTGGCTCGGTTCTAGAATTGAGGAATCCATGGTTGTTACCGGGGGAAGTGGGGGAGGCAGAAAGAAGCATCAGGCAACAACAGAGCTAACTTATGATGCAATGCAATCGGCCTGTTAGCGCTTATCGCCGGCTACACATCAACCCTCCAATCCTCCTCATCTTCACCACTACCATATGGCTAACAGCTATCCATCACCCATATAACCATAAACCACGTGGCCAACATGACCTCACTGGTTACCATACAAGCCCACCATCCTCAATCCACCGACACCTCCCCCCCTCAATCCTCATCCTCCACAATCTCCTCATACATCACATCCGTCCTCAACGTATATTTAACCCCGCGCACCACCGGCTCCCCCGCATGCAACAGATCATTCTGCTGAAACACCAACACCGACCCAACCCTCGGAAGCACCTTAACCACCTCATCCTCCTCCCTCTCGACCTCCAACCGCCTCACAAACGACGTCGCCCCGCCCACCAAGCCCCCCTCCCCATCAACATCCCCACTCCCCTCCCCATTCAAATACACATGCACCGTGAAGAAAGACCGCTCCCGCCGATCCGGCGTGGTATACCACGCATCCCAGTGCGGCCGGAAGAACTCGCCGCCCTCGTACCGCAGGAAGCGCAGCCGCTCGTTGAGCCGCGTGAGCCGGTAGCGCCGGCGCGTCTGCAGCGTCACGCGCCAGGCGTCTTTCCCCAGCGTGTCGATGGCAAACTCATCCCGCAGGAAGGGGAGCAGCCGGTCGCACAGCTTCCGCGCCAGCTCCGGCGCGTCGAGGATGATGCGGCCGCAGTTGCGCGTGTCCGGGCGGAGGATCTGTTCGCCGGCGCCGACGTTGAGCATGGCGCGCTCCCATTGGGGGGTGGGGGACGTCCCCCGGGTGAGGGTGCTGGCTTCGGCGAGGCGGAGGAGTTCGGAGCATTCGGATTCGGTGAGGAGGTTGTCGATGGTTGCGGCGAAGAGGTGGCGGTAGTGTGGGAGGGGTGGCGTGGTTTGCGTGAAGTCGATGCGGTGGGCGGTTGCGTTGGGGGGTGCGGTTGGGGGGAGGAAGGTGGCCATTTTTCGAAGGGCTTTGGGGGTATTGTGGGGTTCTTGGTTGTAGTGTAGCTTTTTGATCGCGAGTTGGGTGTGTTCGGGATTGATATACCAGGTAAAAGGTAAGTATGCGGGCTATATACGGCTGACGAGGCTCGCAAGGCTGACACTTGCCCCTGCTACCCAATCGCTGTTGACGCGGTGCGTAGTCTGTCGACTTTTATTATATGGGCGGGATGATGTTCAGCATGAAGCTAAAAGGTACAGTCAACGTGGTAGGTCTGGGAAATTGGTGTTTAGTGGGTCAGAGGGGCGTCTGTATGAAGTGGACAGTAGTATTCTCTTTGGTAGGTTGGCCAGTTCTCAATAGCAGCACAACAATAAATTTGGTACATATAACCAAGACCTTAAGCACAATACATCCACCAAGCATGTTAGCTCAGGGGAAGAGCGCCGGGCTCATAACCCGGAGGACCCTGGATCGAAACCAGGACATGCTAAGTATCTCTTTTTGTTTTTTTGGCCGCCAGCTAGCATAATCCTTTTTTCTCGTTTCTCCTTTTTGTTTTATTATTTGTGTGTCATTATTTTCAATACTCTAGCTGATCTCAGTTTTTCAAGCCGATATGATCCGGCCTTCAGTCTTGGTGGATTTGGGAAAACTCCGATCGCAGTCGAGCTTGAAAAGTTCACCCAACCCCCCTGGATTTATATATTGAGCAACACCAACCTTAACATTGCAATACCTAAATTGTTAATAGGACACTGTTTGAACCCCCCCCCTCCAATATTAAATCTAGTCTACCAATGTACTCAGCTTGTAAATCACAGTTTAGACCTAGATATCGTATTCAAGGATATATTAACTGGGCTGAACCCCTGCCAAGTGAGAACAATACCCCCGCGCCCAACAATAGCCACCAGTAGTCCAAGAAGATCCCTTCCCAGAACACCCGCTCTCATATTGCGTTTGCAGGGTATAGTTGCTACCCCCAATGCTCAATTCAACAAGCGGCTCCCGTGGCGCAATGGTAGCGCGTTAGACTTCTAATCTAAAGGCTGCGGGTTCGAGACCCGCCGGGAGCTTCTCTTTTTGCACCTGATAGTTTTTGTCCCGTCTATCTTGGCATCTATCTGTGTTGCGGCGGATAGAAGAAAGGAAGGCTGTTTTCCATGGGACTGTTGTGCAACCATGTCGGCACTCGGCAGACGACGTCGTTGTGCCGTCAGTTGTTCCAGTTTGTTTGATCGGGTGTCTGTCTCACTGTTGGTATCCAATCATCTCGCATTCTTTTGTTTGGTGTTGTCTCATTACATCAGTAAGTGCATAGTGTTTTTGTTTTGTGTGTCTAGATCCATGACTGCAGCATAGCACTATTGGCTGGCACGACTCCATTATTTTGCTCTACACGGACTTGTATACAATTGGATCAAATTTGAAATATAGATATACAGAATGATAACAATATGTACACATGATTATAATGCCTTAAGCAATCACCCCCGCACAATGTAGAACCCATTCATCGCCATCTGCTTCTCAACCGCACCGGCATTCGGCCCCCGCACCCCAATCCAATGCAGAGGCACGTTCTCCACCATCCTCTGCCCCTGGTACCTGATCTTCGTGACCCCATTGCGGGTTCTTTGCACCCAGGTGTCAGCTTGTCCATTCCCATCGCCACTATCACGCAGACCATGCCCCTCGACACCCCAAGCAGGATGCCCCAGCACCTCCTGTGCATACGCCACATCACACGCATCCGCTATCATGACCGCCTCGGCCGCCGCATCGCGCGCCGCCTGCAGCTCTCTTTCCGTGTTGCCGGTCGCGGGCGGCAGGTCTGGACGGAGATAGCCCATGATCCGTACCTGGAGACGTGACTGTGGTGTAAGTGGCGGAGAGTCGTCCAAGAAACGGATGGTGGTCTCCTTGCTCCGGGCGCGCGAGAGGTTCACCCGTGCGTCCAGGGCGGGGTTATACGAGAGGATTGAGAGGATCATGCCCTGCCACTGGTAGTCGTGAGGGGACGAATGTGCTGATTCCCCGGGTTGAGGTACCTGCGCAACAGATTGGCAGACCCGCGCCCAGCCGAAGAAAACCCCGTGGTATTGATCCTGAATCATGTCGGGGACTTTGCCCAGCCGGTGCCTGGTTCCATCCCCACCCGCTGCGGGTTCCACGCGCGATGCCATAAAGTCCACAGGGAATGGTGGCTGAGGACCAAGATCCAAGGAGCTAGGCTGGTATGTTCCCGCCGCTGAATGGTTGTTGGTGGTGGGCCCCAAGCCAACGGACACCAACGAACTCACGCGGTCGCCGGCCCCGCTCATCGAGTACGCCGTCTCGGCGGCCGTCTGCGCCTTCCAGCTCGGCTTGTACGGCTGGATTCGATCCTGGACCGCGGCGGTCACGGGGGCGATGACGGCCTCGGCGGCCGTCTGAACGTACATTCCGAGAACCATCGCGCCCACCTCCAAGGGCATGGTGGTGAGGCTGGCGCCCCGGCACGAGCTGGGACTCAGTGATGTGGACAGGACTCGGAAGACCGGGCTGTAGCAGAGTCCCTTCTTCTTGCCATTCCCACACAGCACGAGTTGGAAGTAGCCATCGCCCGCCTCGGCGGGGATCCTCGCCACAATGGTCTCTCGCAGATGGTGCGTTTCGCGAACTTTAGGTGGTGCCTTTTTGCGGAATTTCGCAATGTCGCGCTGCCACGCGCGCTCATCCGCGGGCTCCACCTGCGTCGCCTGGACCGCATGGGAGGGCGTCACGTCGACCCAGTCATCGGTAAGCCGCAGAAGGGCCTTGGTGCGCATGCCTGTCTTGCCGGTCCATCCCTTGGCTTGCAGATAGAGGGTGCGATCGGCCGGAAGGGGTGAGTCGGAGAAGATGGAGATGGTCACGGAGGTGGTGCTGCCCCGGAAGAAGACCACACCGGAGGAGTGGCGTAGAATGGTATAATGTTTGGTACTTTCCGCAGGGTGATTGAGTAGCCCGCCTAGAAAGTGGCGCGCTTCACCGTAGGCTTTCTGCGCGACCGAGAGATCCGTGGTGGTGCGGGGGAGGCTCGGAGCGGGGGATGTTGCTGGGGCGAGATTCTGGATGGTAGTTGCAGCGCGGGTGGGGATGGTCTGTGATGGCGGGGGATGCGGTGGCCGTGGTGATGGTGATCGCATAGGAGTGTATGGAGGTGGTGGTGTATCTAGGAGTGGTGGCTTCTCCGAGGGAGTTGGTGTCGGGCATGGCGAGATCCTGATAACACCACGGATAGTGCCATCATTGTCAGCTTGCGAAAGAGGCTTGCGCTTGATTTGGTGGTGGTTCAGCATAGTAGATGTCCATTTGAACAACAATGAAAGGGGCCGCCTGGAGCTAAGATATTGCAACCAAGCCCCTGAAGTCCCCTGAAAGGATCGGAGTCGTGATGTCGATCGGAAGCGGCGGAGGTGCTGACTCAGCGCCTAGACGAGGGTGAAGGATTGTGTCTCGGAAATGTATGAATTGATGTATGGAGTGAAACAATGACTCCGGAGATGTTCGATTCTCTTAAGATGGTTGATGTCACTGCATTGGGGAACCATGGTTGGCTGACTGCGGCAACATCCCGTAGATCAATTTGTTAGTAGCATGAACTGCCAACATCTGACGGGGGCTTACATTCGAAAATCCCGAGCGAAAAGTATCTCTCAAGAGCTAATGCGAAGAAGACTACTGCTCGAGTACGGCCATGACGAGAAAGTCGACAGCACAGATAGATTTGGTGTTGAGTTCCTGGTTCAGCAAGCAGCTATGTAGGAAAGAAGGGGGATAGGCGAACCATGCTATAGGTAGCAGAGGGAGGTGTAAAACTGATGTGATTGGTCTTCATCTAAATGGTATTAGGCGGCGTGAGAAGAATGAGAAGATATCATGTGTCATGCAAGATGTCCTCAGTGTAATGTTCAAGGTCAAAATAGTAGCAGTAGAGAGGAAGTTGATTGTTAAGAGCAGGGAAAATGTCGGGGAGAGCTTCATGCGCTTATCGATAAGCATGAATGACCAGACATCATTCCACATTCCAGCTGTGCGATGATGTGCAGCTGCATTCCGATATGACTCAAAAACCGGGTTCAACCAGCTGAATTGATCGAAAGGATCACAGATCCATGTGAGAGTTTGTTCCTGTCGTGCTGACCCAGTTCCAAGCACATCAACAATGATCTCCGCAATCGGAACTGCACTCCTCAACCCGCACGAGGACGATAAGCCAACAGACGATAAGCCAACAAGCGACAAGTGGACAGCCGAAAGGGTGGCTGGCAGTGACGTCTTCCCGTTCGCATGCCCACCTCCTGTTCCTATCCATATCCTCTCTCTCACAGTACCCCTTCTCTATCTCTAACCCCAACTCTCCAACCTCCAGACCTCCCCCTGACCGACAACCTCATCGCCTCTACCTACATTCACACCCACACCCACACCCACACCCACACCCATAGCCCAACATGGCCTCGTCCACCCCCGAGACCGAAGCCCCAGCCCCCACACCCACCCTCGACACCATCGCCCAGGTGCTCCAACACGACACCCGCGTCAAGCTGGCAGGCGTGGACGTCGACGGCATGCTGCGCGGCAAGCTGGTCTCCAAGAAGAAGTTCCTCTCGATCGTCGCCGACGGGTTCGGGTTCTGCTCCGTGATCTTCGGGTGGGACATGCACGACCGCACCTACTTCAAGGAGCTGGCGATCAGCAACAAGGAGAACGGGTACCGCGACCTGGTCGCCGTGCCGGACCTGCGCAGTTTCCGGCGCATCCCCTGGGAGAACAACATCCCCTTCTGCCTGGTCAGCTTCCTCGATCCCGACACCAGGGAGCCGGTGTGCGCGTGTCCGCGGGGCCTGTTGCGCACGGCGCTGGGGCCGGTCGAGGCGGCCGGGTATCGCGCAATGGCGGGAGGTATGTCTACCCACATCGGATCGAACAATGCTTTCTTTTTTTCTTTTTTTTTTTTTTTTGCTGTCGGATGCGCGGAGCTAAGATGAAGGAATAGCGGAGTATGAGTTCTACCATTTCCGCGCGCCCAGCAGTCATGCAGACCCCAAGCAGAACGCTTCCGCGACCGCCACCTTCCTCAAGGAGAACCCCGTCGAAGCGTTGCCGTCGTTGACGGAGGGGATGTTCGGGTACAGTCTGACGCGGCCGACGCATAACCAGGAGTATTACTATGGGGTGTACGATGCGTGCGAGCAGTTCAACTGTGAGATCGAGGGGTGGCATACCGAGAGCGGGCCCGGGGTTTATGAAGCGGTACGGGCCCTGCCCTACTGTTCCGCAGCGGACAGAACCACCCGCGCTCTGCGCCGTGCTGACAATGGCTACTAGGCGCTTCAATTCGGCGAAGCCAAAGAAATGGCCGACAAAGCGGGACTCTTCAAGTAGGCCATACTCCGCTGCATTCCAGCTGCAACCCCCGGACTAACCATCGTAGATACGTGGTCAAATCGCTGGGCACAAAACACGGCATCACGCCGACGTTCATGGCCAAGCCGCGCGAAGGGCTCCCCGGCAACAGCGGGCACATGCACATCTCGCTCGTCTCGCCAGACGGAACCAACGCCTTCCACCGGTCGACCCCGGACCCGGCCCCGCCGTACGCGGACGTCGCCCACCTGTCGGACCTGGGCCGGCACTTCCTGGCGGGGATCCTGGCCGGGCTGCCGGACGTCATGCCGCTGTTCGCGCCGACGGTGAACTCGTACAAGCGGCTGGTGGAGAACTTCTGGGCGCCGGTGACGGTCTCGTGGGGGCTGGAGCACCGCGCGGCGTCGGTGCGGGTGATCGCGCCGCCGACGGCCAGCCCCAAGGCGACGCGGCTGGAGGTGCGCGTGCCGGGCGCCGACGCCAACCCGCACTTCGTGCTGGCGGCCGTGGTGGCGCTGGGGTGGCGCGGCGTCGCGCGCAAGCTGGCCCTCCCCGTGCCGCCGCTGTCCAAGGGGGCGGAGATGGGCGGCGCCAGTGATCCGGGCGTGCGGCTGGCCAAGTCGCTGCGCGAGGCGGTGGGCGCGTTCCGGCGCGAGGGGAGTGTCGCGCGCGAGGTGTTCGGGGATGCGTTCGTGGAGCACTTTGGCGGGACGCGCGAGCACGAGTGTCGGCTGTGGGAGGAGGCGGTGACTGATTGGTAGGTTCTGTGGCTTCTGATTCTGTGAGCGGTGCTAATGTGGTCGTAGGGAGGTGAGGCGGTATATCGAGACGGTTTAGTTGGTTGTCGATAGAGCGGGTCAAATGAAGGCATGGTGGAGGATAGATCCACAGGTTACGAGACACGACTACAGATATCATTGACTTTTTGTTCGATACATCGGTTATTGAATATGATGCTAGGGATAGACCCTACCGTTTTAAGCACACCCAGACTGACTAGAACAACTCATAGAGGAGGTGGCTAACCACAAGCCACTAACCTCCATTGATAACACCTTGCCCCCACACCTAATCTTAATCAGATAACCCAAGACCCAACCAGCAACTTCCCAACTACACCCAACTACGAACACAGTACTCCGTACCCTACCACCACCTCACCACACCTCCAACTCAAAACCATGCAAACGAAGAATAATTCATTATAAACAAGTGGCCGGGCCTGAACCCCCAACCAAGATTCATATACATATCCATTATCAATCATCACTCCCTTCCCCACATCCCCCAGATTATAAAACACTCATTCAACCGTCCACATCCCCACGCTCCATCTGAGACAAACGAGTTAGACCAAACGAGGAGTTTAGATATACTCCCAAGCAGCGGCACTCCCATTGCGACCAACCGCCAACGCATCAAAGCCCAGACAGTCGCCAACATTCCCCGAGGGAACGGTAGCGTTGCTCCAGGCCGCAAAGACCTGCCACTTGCTAGCCGTAACAGCAGCGGCACCCGCGGCGGGGGTGGCAGACGGGGAAGCGGCGGACGACGAGGCAGCCGCGGCGGGGACCGGGCAAGCGATCAGGCCGCTGTTGGGCAGGGTCCAGTACCCGAAGGTGGTGTCGGCCTTCTGGGAGTAGCTGAAGGCGCCGACGACGGAGCCGGCGGGGACGTAGGCGGAGTGGGGCTGGGTGAAGGCCAGGGCGCCGCTGGGGGCGATGTAGACCTGCTGGCCGCCGGGGACGGAGACGTCCTTTTCGTCTGGTTAGTCTTTTGGTCTGATTTGATAGGGTTGGTTGGGGGAGGGAGGGGAGGAGGGGCAGAGGGGCAAGCAACGTACCAAAGAGTTGGCACCGGCATCGAACACGGTCTCAGTGCCGGGCGGGCAGGCGCCCAGCTCGGCGACCTGGTCCGGGCAGTAGCTGGAGGCGTTCTGCAGACCCAGGTAGAAGCCCCCGGAGGCGGCGTTCAAGGGCAGCAGGTGCACGGGCGAGCCCGAGCGGGCGGACATCACCGAGAACGAGTTGTAGTTGGCCTGCGCCTGCTGGGTTTGCGGCAGAGCCGAGACCCCGGCGGCGGCGGAGAGGAGGGCAAGGAGCTTCATGGTGGTGGTGGTGGTGGTGGTTGGGAGGGGGTGTGTGTGTGTGTGTGTGCTAAAGATCCTCAGTAGATGGTTTGTTTGGATTGTGTAGATACGGAGAAAAATATCCTGGGGAAGGAAGAAAGGTCTTTATATGCCAATCTGTCCCTTGTGCCACTGGACTTATTCATGAATCGTGGCTAACTAGCAACTCTACTGCTATGCTGGTTTAGCAACGCGATGAGTGAAACATCCCCACTCCATCTGCTGATCAGCGGAGCGTGTCTCGGGGACATTCCCCCTTCAGTCACATTGGGGACTGGTTGACCAGGTTTCACTCGCCTTCGTATTGATGATTAGGCACTGCAGTTTTGCTGTCCGTGGGAAGTTGGGGAATGGCCGAACAATGCCCCAATTCCCCCCAGTTCCCCCCAAATGACATTCTGTTTAGGTTATCATTCATCAGCAACCGTCTTACCCGTAACCCGACCCGAAGCTGCCGCTGGACCCTGTGGATCCCTTCACACAAAGTACTATTTTAAGCAATGACATCATTCGCTGCTTCGCTTCTGGCGCAGTCAGTCCCAGTCCCAGTCCCACGGCTAAACTCGATCGATGCATCGATGCCTGCAGAATATTCACGAACACCTCCAACTAAAACTAGTCTAAGACATCACAAACAAAAAAAACCAGGCAACCCCAAAAGTCGGCAATTTATCTATTTACATATACGAATGCTAACTTCATGCAATGCAACTGTAGAATGTTTGAATGTCTCGGATTCCGCCGAATTTCGCCGAGTTTCCCCTCCAATGTCCTTGCGACGGTGCCTTTCTGCCTCAGGTCGAATGTGTGTCTCACTACTAATCATCACAATGTACTACTCATGTACTCGGCACCATTCCCAATGGGCAACGGACTCATCACGAATATCAGAAACATTCAATATCCCCCTCGTAAAGGCAGGTCGCGTGAGCTCTGTCCAACCCAGATCGCAAACTCGCCATCCGGCATCACCCAATTCTGCTCCCGCACGCTCCAGTAACTCAGGTCCTTCCGGGTCAACGTCATCGCCACCGTTTGCCTCTCCCCGGCCTCCAGCGCGACCTTGGTGAAATTCCGCAGCACGCGCGACGGAAACTCAATCGGCTCAGGCATCCGCTCCAGCTTCACCTTGCTGGACCGCCGCGCCCCCTCGTGCACCTCCACCCAGTCGCCATCCTCGGTCACGTCCCCAGGGAATGAGACATACACCTGCACCACGGTCTGCCCGGCCCGCGGGCCTGTGTTGCGCACCTCAACCTCGACATTCACCACCTCGTCATAGAGCGATGGATTCCCGCCCAACCCTCCGCCAGCGGGCGATAACGGCTGCGGTCGGTCGTACCCCTCCGGGTAGTGCGTGTAGTTGGCTGCCGCGGTGCCGTCCATCGACGTGAGGTACGGATAGATGAACTGAGGGACCGCCCGGAACTCTGCAGGGAACAGCACCGACTCATTGCGTGGAGGCTCCGCGTCGTACTCGGGGGGGAAGACGGTCTGGGGCGGTCGAGACGCCGGGAGGCGGGACTTGGACTGCAGCCCCTGGACATGAAGATCGGCAAGCTCAAACGTCGTGTACGACAATCCAAACCCGAACTCGAATCGTGGCGTGACGTTGTGTCGATCGAAATACCGATGATCAATATACAGCCCGTCCTGGAAATCTACCTGCGGCACGGGTGCATTAGGCTCATACAAGACCTGCGCCCCGGGTCCGTAGTCTTCCAGACTCTTGCCGACCGTGTACGGCAGCCGCCCACTGGCATCGACCACGCCAAACAAGACGTCCATCAACGCATTGCCGCTCTCTTGACCAGGCAGATGGGCGAAAAGCACGGCATCAACCCCTGGCAGATCGATCCACGATTCCACCACGACAGGACCCACCGCATGCACCACCACCACGGTCGGCCCAGCGCAGTTTCGCGCGACTGTCTCGATCAGCGTGTCGCCGCCCTTCTGCAGGAACAGGTTATTGCGGTCGCCGTGAATGCCGCCCGCGGAGATGAAGCCTTCGCCCGAGTCGGCATTGGCGAACACCAGACAGAGATCCTTGTCGGCCACCTCCGCCGGCATCACCGCGTTGCGGAGGTAGGGGCTGAGTTCGATCTCCGTCTCCCAGGCGGACTGCAGAGCCTCAAAGGGGTTGACCAGATACGGGAACTCGGCCGTGCCGCTGCCCCAGCCCATCGCCAAGGTTCCTTGGTTGCACCCGCGATCGGCGCAGGCGTTGGGACCCTGTGCCGGGCCCGCATCATCGCCGTAGACACCCACGCGAAACACGGCTCCCGTCTCGGTCGTGGGGCGGCGGGACAACGGGAGGGTCTGACGGTCATTCTTTACGAGCACAATCCCCTCGGTCGCAACCTTGCGCGCGATGATCCAGTGGGCATTGTCGCCCTCGCCTTGCGCATTAATGAAGCGATTCACCACACCGTAGGTCTCGTCACTGGGGGATCCCTGATAGATCCAGCCAACCTCGTCGTTGGTCCAAGAGGAAAAGTTGGGACCACCGTTCCCTTCAGGCGGAGGTCGCTCCCACGTGTCTTGGCCTAAGTGGTACCAGGCAGCTACGATGCGAGTGACCATGTCGTTCAATCGCTCCATCGGGACCGAGGTGTTAAGCACGGCACGAGTCAGCTCTGATCCCCAGAGCGACTTGCCGTCCGCCCAGTGAAGACCGTCGCCGGGCATGCTCATGTCAAGCCCGCCTAGAGCGCTATTGATGCCCGAGCGCTGAGCCAGCCAGTCGGACTGCACGAAGCCCTGGAAACCTAGTTCGTCCTTGAGGATCCCATTCAGCAGCTTGCTGTTCTCACAGGCGTGGCTGTTGTTCACCATCTGGTACGAACACATGACACTGGCGACATCGGCCCGGATGGATTCCGCGAAGGGCCAAAGAAAGACCTCATGTAGCGCACGGTCGTTGATGTTGGATGACAGGGCCGTTGCGATGCCCCACTCGTAGGGCTGACGGAAATGTTCCTGCTCGTTCATAATGTAGTGCTTAGCCGTAGCCATCACCCCGGTGCTCTGAATGCCGCGGATAGTCTCCGCGGCCGCCACACCCTGCAGAACCGGGTCCGCCCCAAACGCTTCCCAATTGCGACCACCAGCAGGCATCATCCCCAAGGGGCCCATAGAAGGACCGAGAAGCACATTGACACCTTTGGTGCGCGCTTCCTCGCCCAACGCCACGCCCCGCTGGCGGATCAACTCGCGATTCCAGGTCGCGCCGGTGGTGATTCCAGCAGGGAAGGCAGAGATCAAATCGGCATAACGTAACCCCAATGGCCCGTCCTGCAGACACAATGAGGGAAACTTGACGAATTCGGCGGGCGCTGTGTTGCGGTTCAAAGTTAATCTCCACGTAGTCACCAAGCCAGGGTATTCCGGTTACGACGAACCTGTATTCCCCACACACATGCCCATCTGCCATCCAACGCCCGTCGTGATGTTGATCTTCTCGATGAGCGTCATATTCCGCACCAACAATTCCGCCCTGCGGTAATCATCGGCCCAATCCTCTAGCGCACCACCCTGCGGCGTCGGGAACCATGATTCGGAGGGAGGCATATCCTGCACAAACGAAGCAAACCACAATTAGCCGGCATTTTCTGACACCTGTCGCTACCATGTAACCAACGAGGAATAGAACTCACCACCTCCACCCTCCCCGTATCCCACCCACCCCGCGCCGCAAACCGCAAAAACACCCACACCAACGCCCCCAGCACCACCACGACCACGAGCAGCGCACGACACCAGACCTTCCGATAATAGTATTTCGTCGTGGTCGTCCACCCCCACCCCATATGCGGCGTATGCTTCTTGAACGTCGACGACCGCCTCCGATGGTGCCGCCCCTTCGAGCCTCCCTTCCGCAACCCCACATCCGAGCCGACGGAGCGCGCATCGCTGTCGTCGCTGTCCCCCTCCTCGTCGGAGAGTTCGAACTGATGCGCCGCGGTCAGGAGCTCGCGTTCCGCGGCGGTGATGGAGGAGAGGTAGGCTTCGACGTCCGAGGGGCGGGCGCTGTTGTTGGTGCTGGAAGGGTAGGCGTAGGCGGGTTTGGATGCGGTGGAGCTGTGGCGGCTGTGGGTGTTGTCGATGCGGCGGAGTTTGATCTGGCTGCTGCTGCTCCTGTTGCTGGCGCTGCCGCCGGTACTGTGATTGCGGGGGGTGTCGTTGTCGTCATCGGAGAAGTCGGAGAGGGTGAATCGGTCGTCGAGGTCGGCGGAGGGTGAGGATTCTTCTTCGGGGATCGGGGCGAAGGAGGAGAGTGATTTGCGGGAGGGCGCGTCTTGTTTGAGGTGGTCCCGGTAGGGAGGAGGAGGGGGGCCCGGGTTGGAGGGCATTGTTGGCGGAATTTTAGATTATGAACCAGTGGTAGAGGATCATGGATCAGATGGATGCAAACGAATGTGAAGTTGCACAGGAAGAAGAGGACATGTCAGAAAAAGGAGAGCAAAGAATTGCATTGATTCAGGGGAGGGGGAGAGGGAGATGGAGAGGGAAACGAAGGGGATGGAGGTATGGGGATTGGATGATGAAGGAGGGAGGAAGTGGACTGGGGAGATTGGGAGTTGTGGGAGTTGTGACAGTTCGCAGGTTCTGGCCAGGGGATTGTCACCGCAAGCTTTCTGGCATTGGTTCCTGCCGCGGGCAACCCGCGCCCGGTGGAGTCGAAACTGGGGCTGCATGACGACAACTTTGTGTATGGTATTGACGGAGTAAGTTACCGTAAGTTACAGCAAGCTGCTACGTATCTTGGATTCAAGTGCGTTCCCATACGGAAATTCAAAAACCATAACGGAATGGATGCTCTATGCTGAGAATCTCGTCTACAGCTCTATATACTCATGGACAGTCATCAAGCAAACAAAAAGGTCTATAAGCCAATCCAGCAATCATCGCGGTCATTCACTCTCTACTCCTCATCGTCCGTGTCCGGAGGCTTGGGAGTACCCTTGGGACTCTGCAGCCACTCCAGGTGACGCAGACGACGACGCGCCTCGCGCTCCTTCATCTGCGCACGAGTCATCTTCTTCTTCTTGCGAGCCTTGAACTTCAACTCTCCCTCTTCCGCTCCCGAGTTGACCGCCGAGGCGGCGGCACTGGTGGTGGCCGAGTTGGCCGCCGTGCTGCCGGGCTGAGGGGTGCTGGTGGCACTGTCCTCGAAACGATCGAGAGCAACAGCATTGTTGGTGCGGCCAACGATGCGACCGTCGGCAATGTGCAGCTGTTCGGGGCACAGCGCACCCACGAACTCTTCGTTGTGAGAGATCATGACGACACCACCCTTGAAGTCCCGAATGGCAACCGCCAAACCACCGAGGGAATCACGATCCAAGAAGTTAGTGGGCTCGTCCAGCACCAGCAAGTGAGGGTTGTTCCACATGGCTCCAGCCAGCACAACCTTGACCTTCTGACCACCAGACAGACCAGAGATCTGGTTGTGAGCGGCAATCTCGGGGTCCAGACCGACATCCTCAAAGTGCTTGGCAATGATCTTCGGCTCGAGGATACGGAAACCAAGACCCTCGCGGGATGCCTCGTGGTCGTCGAACTCCTGCACCAGCTTGGCGAAGCCCAGCTCGGTAAGGGTTTCACGAGAAATCATGGTATTGTGCTTGGGAAGAAGACCGATCCATTTACTAGACAGCATGTTAGCGATATGTAGACGATCCCACATGACACCACGACTTACACTTCATATTGGAAGGACTTCTTCCACTTCTGACGACCCATCAGAGCCTCAATGCGACGAGGTCCACGGCCATCACCCAGATCCACAGGCTTCTCCAGCTGTGCCTTGTCCTGCTCGGTCAGGATGCGGGTCTGCTTCAAGTGCACTTCACGGTCATCACCGTTGGCGTAACGCCACTGCAGGTACTGGCTGGGAGTCTTCTCCAAGTGCATCTCGACGTGCTCCAAAGCGTGCTGCTTGATGTAACCGATACGGAGGTTGGGGTGCTTCTCGACCTTACCGGTTTGCGGGATGGTCTCACCCGTCAACATCTTGATGAAGGTCGACTTACCCGCACCGTTACCACCGATGATAGCGACACGCGAAGACAGGGTCAACGACAGCGAGGCGCCCGTCAGCGAGGGCTTGCTGGCTCCAGGGTAGGTGTAGGAGCAGTCGGTCATCCGGAGAATGGAGCGGGTGTTGGACTTGATACCGGAGAGGATACCGGGAGGGGGGAACTTGAACTGAACATTGCTGGCGGACAGGGTGTAGTAGCTCTTGGCCTCAGGCTTGACCTTGACAAAGCTGCGCGGATGGTTAGTGATTGTCAAGTGAAACGGGATAAAAGAACACTTACTCGGCCAGGTTACCCTTGTAGCAAACCAGCTTCTTCTGCTCGTAGTGGTAGATGTCGGTACAGACCTCATCCAAGAAACCAGAGTCGTGGGAAACGATCAAACTGGTGATCTCAGTGTGAGCCTTCAGGTACTCCTGAAGCCACTTGACGTTGGCGACGTCCAAGTGGTTAGTCGGTTCATCCAGCAAGAGCACATCGGCCTTGAGCAACATGGCACGGGCCAAAGCCAGCTTCATCTTCCAACCACCAGACAGGGATCCGACGCGCTGGTTCTGACGACCCTCCGGACCATCGGTGAAGCCGAACTCCAACAGAACGTTACGGACGTGCTCTTCACCCTCTGCAGCAATCTTGGGGTCCTTCACAACGAACTCATAAATGCTCAAATCGGCATCCTCACCCTGGTTGTGCTCGACGAAGCAGGTGCGGACGACATCCTGCGGGGGGAAGCCCTCCAGTTTGTCGTTGGCGATACTGCGCATGAGAGTGGACTTGCCCGCACCGTTGCGGCCACACAGACCATAACGGTGTCCCTTCAGCAGACGAAGGTTGGTGTGCGACAGCAGCAACATACCACCGTAGGCCAGAGAGAAGTTGGCGTTGACAATTTCAACCTCGTTGGGGTCTTCGGGCTCGGGGCGACCATACTTGCGGTGATCCTCCTCAATGAAGTGGGCCTCCAGGGCTGCCGCGACTGCGTCGTGCTTATCCTCCGCCAAGAGACCGCGCAGGTAAGGACCGACGCAGGCGGGAATGCGGTCAAGCATGCGGCAGTTGACATCCTCGCGAACCATCTCCGAGACGTAGTTCTTGGCGAGCTCGAACAGAGTCACCAGCTCGGGGTGGGCCAGGCCGCCTTGCTCCTGGATCTTAGCCTCCAAGACGGCGCGAACCTCATCGGGGGTGATCTTAACGACCACGCCGGCAGCAACGTCCTTATCGGCCATGGCCTTCTCGATGACGTCCAAAGCACGGGTGGCGAGCTCACGCACCTCAGGAAGAGAGGCGCGGTCCTTGACGCGCTGCACACCAGGCTTCAGCTTAGGCAAGAAGGTACGAGCCTCAGCGGGGTCGTGGACCAGCTTGGTCAAGTTCTCGACGACGACAACGGTCTGGCGGAGGGTCTCCTGGGGGGTAGTGGGGGCGTTGAGCGAGCGTTCGAGAAGGGGGGTGAGCAGGGCGAGAACGGGGGAGGTGACAATGGCGACGAAAGTGGTCTGGGACAAGGCATGGATGGCCTTTTGCAGGGTCTGCTCGGAAGGCTGCTCCATGGTCTTGATGAGAAGAGGAATCCGGGGGGCGACGTCGTCGTTGGACAGCAGGGTAGTGATGGCGTTCATAGACTTAATGGCCTGCTTGGCGACTTCGTTCTTCAAGTCGTGCATACCGGACTCGACCAAAGGAATCAGGTCCTTGAGGGTCTTGCCCATGGCCTCGCGCAGCAAATCCTTCTCGCGCTCCTCCTCGAGGGAACCCGCACCCATCTGGGCCTTCACGGCCATCTTCTCAATGAGAGCATAGGCGCCGACGAAGCCCTGCCACTTGGCGGTGTTGCGGTTCAGATACGCGGAGAGGGCGGGCAGGAGGCCGTTGGCGAGGGCTTCGGCCTTCAGGCCGGCGAAGAGAGCGTCGATGGCGTACTGAGCAGCCTCACGGACGACAGCACCCTTATCGGCCAGCAAATCGAGGGCGAGGTGCAGCAGACCACCGTCCTGGAGCAGAAAGACGACTTCGCTGAGAGGGTGTTCGCGGGGGAAGCGTTCGAACATGGCGCCGAGGATCAGCATGGAGCTTTCACGGAGAGCGCCATTCTTCTTATCGACGGCGGCCTTCTGGATCTGGGGCAGGATATTGTAGTATGTGAAGCCGGCGACACCAACGCTCTGGATGAGCAGGTTGGTCAGGGCGTAGGCGGCATCGAGGGACTGCTGGGAGGTCTCTGCGTTGAAGATGGTGTGGAGGAGGGAGCCGATCTCCTCGTAGGTGGGGGGGACCCCGGAGGGGGTTTTGGAGACAGCGGTCTGCATGGCGGGGGTGGGAGATTCGGGGTGAGGCATTCTAAATATGCAGGGGGTATTCGATTGTGGGTGAAGGCTTCCAACCAGCACAAGCCGTAAGCCGTGATTTTTGAGGGGGGCGGAGAGGGGCGTTCAGCCTCGTCGGAGCAGGTGTGAGAGAGATAAGAGAAGAAGAAGCTGAATGGAAAGAACTATACAACCACAAATCAAACAACACAGCAGCAATCCTCCTGGAGGATGCGTTCCAAACACCAAAAACACAGAAAAAGAAGAGTGGAGAGGATACACAGCGTCGGATGAAGGAGGAGGGGAACGGGAGAAAACAATGAGATGGGAGAGAAAAATCGAGGCGGGCGGCGGGGGACTTTTTCTCGGGGGCGATGATTGGCTCAAGTGGGCAGTGAAATCTCTGCCTGAGGCGTGGCTGGCGCCAATCAGAGAGATGTGGCTCAGCAGGGACCAGGAAGCCGCTTTTGAAGCCATTGATGATGTAAAGATGTGAGGCGGTGCGCTGATGCCTTACGGCCTGAGTCAGCTGCATATTTGCCGGAGGAATCAGGCAGTAATGGGCCGCCCGGATTGGGCTTACCATTGGGCTTACCCCGCACGGAGAAGAGGGGGGAGAAGATCCACCGTGGACCCAGTGGAGAATGACTAACAATCACTAAAGAAGTGGTCTGACAGAATCACTCAATCAAGGCTACTGCTGGGATATTAGCAGGAAGCATGTTGCCTGTCAAGAAGAGCATACATCAATGTACTTCGTACAATCGGACGGTCTCCAGACACGAGACAAAAGAAAGAGACTTTCCATCCTCATCCGAACCATGGTGCTGATCACCGCCGCAACCCAGTTGGGAGGCTATTGTGAAAGGCTACTAAAGGTAGACCGACGCAATTATTAGGTGATGTGAATTGATGATCGGCGCATCAATAAAGTCGCCCATGATTGCAGGCACATACTTAGTACTAAACATAACACTACCCCTGGCTGTACGGGCGGTGTATGAACTGACCGCATGCAGCCGTCTCCTCTCCCTTGCCTCGGTCGGACTCTCGGTATTGATCTCCGCGTCCAACCGCTCTCATGGCCGAGGCTAGTTAGTCCGACTCAGTTACTTACTGGGTATATCTGCGCCTGTGTCGAGGTAGCCTGAGGGCCATTTCCCCTCCCCTTGCCTCCCCTTGTAGCACCTTCACCTTCACCTTCACACCTCTTCCTCAGAACAAGACTCCCACCTTCAACAGTCAGGCCAGGATCTTGACTCCTTCTTTCGACTTCTCTCAAGCGATTGTTTACAACACATACTCGCAACATGGCTCTCCCGATACGTACCACCAGCCGTCATGCCTCGCGACTGACCCAAGTGCGTCTCCCTTGGTATCTGCGTGATCAACTTCCGATCTGACCATCTGACCTTCCACCCATCTAGGGGCCCCTCTTCCGGCGCTCCTATGTCATCGAACCCGATCTCAAAACCGCCCTCAAGGCCGTCATCCCCGCCAAACGCGACCTCCTCAAACAAGTGAAAGCGCGCAGCGACCAGGTCATCGGCGAGGTGACCGTGGGCAACGTCATCGGCGGGCAGCGGGGCCTGAAGGCGCTCCTGTGGGAGGGGTCGGTGCTGGACCCGAACGAGGGGATCCGGTTCCACGGGAAGACGATCAAGGACTGCCAGCGGGAGCTACCCAAGGGACCCGTGGGCACGGAGATGCTCCCGGAGGCGATGTTCTGGCTGCTGCTGACGGGCCAGGTGCCGTCAACCGCCCAAGTGCGAGCCTTCTCGCGCCAGCTCGCCGAGCAGTCCCACCTACCGCAGCACCTGCTGGACCTCATCAAGTCCTTCCCGCGGGAGATGCACCCGATGACGCAGCTGTCCATCGCCGTGGCCGCCCTCAACACGGAATCCCGCTTCGCCCGCGAGTACGCCCGCGGCTTGCCCAAGACCGAGTACTGGGAGCCGACCTTCGACGACGCGATCGCCCTCCTGGCCAAGATCCCGCGCGTCGCCGCGCTGGTCTTCCGCCCGGACGCCGTCGACCAGGTCGGCACGCAGCCGCTGGACGGCGCGCTCGACTGGTCGGCCAACTTCGCCGCCCTGCTGGGCAAAGGGGACCCGACCACGCACGGCGACTTCCACGATCTGCTGCGCCTGTACCTGGCGCTGCACGGCGACCACGAGGGCGGCAACGTGTCGGCGCACACGACGCATCTGGTGGGCAGTGCCCTCAGCGATCCGTTCCTCAGCTACAGCGCGGGATTGCTGGGGCTGGCGGGACCGCTGCACGGCCTGGCCGCCCAGGAGGTGCTGCGGTGGATCCTGGCGATGCAGACGGAGATCGGGTCGGGCGCGACGGACGAGGCCGTGCGGGAGTATCTGTGGACCACGCTGCGGTCGGGCCGGGTGGTGCCTGGCTACGGACATGGGGTGCTGCGGCAGCCGGACCCGCGGTTCCAGGCGCTGATGGACTTCGCGGCGGCGCGGCCGGACGTGCAGTCCAATCCGGTGTTCAAGCTCGTGCAGCAGACGTCGGAGATTGCGCCGGGCGTGTTGACGGAACATGGAAAGGTAGGTGCCCTTCCCTCTCGGACTTGATTAAGTTGTCAAACTGACAGCTATGCAGACCAAGAACCCTCATCCGAACGTCGATGCTGCGTCGGGTGTGCTCTTCTACCACTACGGCTTCACGCAACCGCTCTACTACACCGTGACCTTCGGCGTGAGTCGGGCTCTGGGCCCACTGGTGCAGCTGATCTGGGATCGTGCACTGGGCTTGCCCATCGAGCGACCGAAGAGTATCAACCTGAAGGGGCTGAGTGCTTGAGGAAGAACGGACACAGCCGGGATGCCATTTCTTACTTCACGAGTCACATAGAGACCAATCCAGCCATCATGACATTCCCTGAACGTAATGCTTTCCACTCGTAGTGGGTACAGGCTCGGGTCCGGGCCACGGCCAGGAAAGTATTTTGAGTTTCCCTCCGCGATGGAGGCTTGCCTGATCCACGGCGGAAGGAACGGAAGCCAATTGTCTATTGAGTTGAGCTTAACTGGACATGATGCGAGAAGGTGTCATGGTGGCTGTCGGTTAAACAGCGGCTAATCTAAATCTAGCTTTGTGACTTTGGGGCATTCCAGTCCTTGGTTTGGTACTCAAATAGTGAAGAAAAGTTTGGAAGGAGGAGTGTGCACTTCATAGATTCCATGGCCAGCTCTTAACCGTGGTTATATCTTCCATGCTAGTATATATGAGAAAGCCTGTTATCTCCCTTAGCGAAGACTCGCCAAAATCACCCAAACATCGTCCGCAACCTCCCTTCCTCCATCACCTCACTCCAATGCTTCCCCATCCCGCCCCCAACACCCACCTCCACCTCGCGATCCCCGACCTCCCAGATCCTCTGGATCAGCGCCTTCAGCACCCGGATCGGTTTCGACGGGAGACTGTACTCCAACACGCTGACCCGCTGCATCACCACCCGCCGCGCCTGACTGACCTGCAGCGCCATCTGGCTGAGCGGGCCATCCGCACTCGACGAGTCTGGGGCCCGCAACCCCGTCGCGATGGACAGGTATAACAGCGGTTGAATTACCCGCGAGCCCGACTCCAAGGGGATTCTTTTGACCAGGTCCAGCAGCTCCAGGGCCAGGGTTTGCAGACTCCATGTCGAGATCTCCTCTGCACCGAGCACTCGGGTGTGGTCGTCTCGGAGATCGGGGAAGGTTTGGTACAAATGGAGCAGGGCGGCGAGGCGGTAGCCCTCCGCCACATCGACTAGATGAGAGAGCGGGGTTCGTGCGTCTCCCGTCTCGGTGAGGTTGCTGGACTGGAGGGTCAGGGATGTCAGGGTCTGGCGGAGGGAGCGGGCGGCGTGAATGTCGCGGATGAGTTCTTGGAGGGAGTGCAGGGTGGCGTGGTTGGGAGAGCGGAGGCGCTTGCTGTGGCGTCTGCAGAGGAGAATGGTGTGCGCGAAGAGATCTAGAATGTGGCGGGAGACGCCGACCCAGGGGTGGGGGGAGGTGAATGTTGTGGTTGTTGTTGTTGTGGTCGAAGAAGAACCGGGGATTGGGCCGATGAGAGTGGTCGTCGCGGCCGTGGCATCCTGCTCGTCGGTGACCACGCGGCACAGGATGTCCCAGTAGGCGCAGCTGTCGTTGAAGAACTCGAGGTACGTCCGATCGGTGGTGCTCGCGCTGAGCATGCCCGGCTGGTTGTAGTACGCTAGAATAGTTTTCATCTTCTGGAGAAGCGGAATCCCCAGTTGTTGGCTGTCGGTCCAGCAGGTGGTCGTGCCGATGCCGGCGAGGGCAAGGAGGAGGCCGGTGGGGAATTGCGGTGGAGAGGTCTTGTGCTGTGTGAAGGAGGCTAGCTCCTGCTGGATGGACTGCATGGCTGCGGTCCATGAGGTGGTGGCTGTGGCGTGGAGGTGAGGCAGTTGCTCGGACAGATGTAGGGCTGACATGGTCTGCAGACTGTGGAAGACGGCGGCATTGTGGCTCCACGTGTGAGATGCTAGTTTGCGGATGAGATTGCGGTCCGAGTCGAAGCTCGACCACATCGAACATACGTTCTTGAACCAGTATTCGATCAAGAACGTGGTGGTTTCCGTCATGGCTGGGGTGGAGAGGATTGGTTGTGGTACATCGTCCTCAAGGGCGAGAACATCGCCCTGGAGGAGTGCTTCGAATTCGGCCGGCTCATCCACTTCATCCTCTTCTAGGCCACTGACAGGAAGATCTGCCTGAGAATCTTCTGGCAAGCCCTCCTGTACTTGCGACACAACTTGAGCCTGAGCCTGAGCCTGAGCCTGAGCCTGAGCCTGAGCCTGAGCCTCTGCACCCCCCTCTTCCCCCTCCAGCCCCATCAACCACCCAAAACTATCGCCATAGATTCTCCCATACAGCTCCGCCAGTCCATCCAAACTCCCCACCGTCGGTATTCCACCATTTTCCCCACCGATATCATTGCGATCCCCAGCCCCCTCCGACGCCAACAGCCCAGACACATCATCAAACGCCTCCTCCAACTGCTTATTCTCCAGCTCCACCGTCGAACCCGTCGACTCGGGACTCTCCCCCGCCACGCCTGTTATTGAATCCCCTCGCTCGCTCCCAGCCGTCCTCCTCCGTGCACGCGCCGAAGAAACCTCATGCTTAGTCGACCATTTGAACTCGCGCTGATATCCCGGACAAGTGCGCCCTTGCTTCACGCACGCGGTACACGCTGGTCTCGTTTCATCGCATTGGATCTTTGCTTGCGGATCAGCCCCACGGTCAACTTCGAAACATGGAAGGAAGGGGTGGCATACCCGTCTCGACTTACAGGTCTTGCAGCCCGTCCGGAAGCGACGGCCTTGGCGGTTCTCTCTGCTAGATTTCGATTTGGTTGTTGTGGTTGTGGACATTATGCTTCGGAGTCACTCATTCCATCTGCCTTGATAAAAGCTGCTGATAGATCCAAGATAACTTTGATCAGAAAGAGGGTGATGATTCTATTTCAATGATTCTTGGAGAGGACAACCGCACCGAGGCCGAGGATCAACCGAAATGCGGAGAAAGAGGCGTCGATCTTGATTTATACTCCAGCCGTCCAGCCTTATCTCTCGCCTTCCACGTGAGGAGAGAGCGGGGGCGCTGCATGCGAGATAAGAGGGTAATGAGCTGATAAGACTGTTTCCTGTGGGACACGTTAATGATAAGACACGTCTGTTCGACCCATCATTATCACACAAGACACGATCGTTGGAAATGCTTGATGCCCCACAAAAATGCCCCCTAGCGCATCCCCCGGGTGTCAGAATGTTGCGAGCGTTAGCAGCTTTGCCGCTCTTACTTCAAGGGTACGATCCACCATTTCCTGATCAGGCAGAACTGAAGGGGGGCATTCAAGGTATACTTGATTTCAGTAACCCTTTTTGCTATTCAAAATAGAATGATGCACTAGGCTGGGTTCTGAAGGAAGGGCATAGGGACACCATCAGTGAAAGAGCTTGACCTAGGGAGACGGAAGAGGGCGTGCAGAGGACTCCCCTCAACCTCGAGAAAAGAATCGCAGCCCTAATTGCGGAAACAAAAAGAGCCGCAAGTAGCCAAGTCCGGCCGCAATCGAAATACTGCGTGCGCTACTTGACGCCGTCGAACTGACAACGACAATGAGTGTAGACACTCTTCAAGTGGATGAATCGCATTGCTTTGCTCTAACTATGTACAGTAACGCCTTATGTGCTCGTATTTCACTTCATAGCCACTTTCCATGGCTCAGAGATAACCCGCCGCCGTCTCCGCAACCTGCAGCCCAGCATAAGCCTGATCGCAGAACGCCTTGACCGTGACCGCGACCGCGCGGGTCTCCGGGTCCTCGTCATTCACCACCACCGCGTAGGCGATCCGCGACGCATAGGAGGTGAGGTTGGACACCTCGCCCAGAATCGCCGCGGAGCGCATGTCCCCGGCGCCATCCTGGCTGAGCTCGAAGAAATGGAACCCGGAGGTGACCAGCTTGAAGGGGATCAGCATGACGCCGACGAGGGCGCCGATGCCGCGCGTGCTCTTGGCGCTCATCGAGCCCACCCCGATCTTGCCGACGGCCTTCTGGCCCAGACCCGAGAAGTAGAGCGAGCACAGCAGCCCCAGCGCCGAGGTGACGTGCGAGATCGTCTTGATGGACCCGTTCTGCAGCGGGTCCTGGGGCACGAGCTCGTCCGCCACCGTCTGCGACACGCTGATCACCACCTTGAAGACCGAGGTCGCCTTGGAGAGGAAGCCGCCGCTGCCGGCTTCGGACATGGCGTCGATCTCGTTGAGCGGGTTCCCGATCAGGGCCATGAGCGCGCTCGTCCCGTGGAAGCCTTGGAAGGTGGGCCGCTTGAGCGAGTGGTCGGAGCGCTGGAAGCCCTCCGCAACCGTCTTCCAGTGACTGGCGGACACGATGGTCTGGACGGCCGGGTCGTGGGCGGGGAAGGGGGCGTGCTGGTAGGCCACTTTGTAGACGACGGTGAAGGACACAGCGGCGATCCAGCACAGCAGGTCCAGCAAGGAGATGTCGGGGACACCCACGGCGTTGAGGATGTCGGAAACCACCGGGATGTGGATCTTGGTGTCGAGCAGGGCAATGGCGACCTCCGCTACATCGTACAGGAGGTTTAGCACCGCGTCGACCACCACCTGCACGCTGGACAAGACCCCGTCGGCCAGGATGCCGACCACTCGGCGCAGGATGGCCTCCACGCTCAGACTGCTGAAGTCGTGGGCCAGCTGCACGAGTCCCTTGTAGACCCCCTCCAGCACGTGGCCTTCCTGAGCGATGGCCTGGATCAGGTCCGAGAGCAACTGCTCGACGGCGTCCATGGTCGGGTGGTCCCCAACAACGGTCATCTGGCTCGCATTGTTCTGATAGTGATGGGCGAGGAATTTCGAGGCCGAGGTCTGGTCCTTGTGCGGGTTCGAAGCACTAGCCGTGACGACCTTGGTCGATGCATCCCCCAGACCCGACCAATCGGTGATGCCACTCCATTGATTCAGACTCTGCTGGGCCTTTCCGATCTCCCGATCCAGGAAGTCGCGGGCCGTGCGGATGTACTCGACCTCGTTCTGCAGGTAGAGCTTGATGGTGTTGTGCATGACATCCTTGCAGCGGCGGATATCATCCCAGTGGAAGAGCATCTCCACGAACTGGATCAACTTCTCGATCCCGGTCTTGACCTTGTCAAAGACCCACTGCACCGCCCCGACCACCGCGTGGGCCGTATCCAGGACCGCGTGGTAGACCTTGTCCCCGATCTGCGCAATTAGATGCAGAGTCCCGGTGACGGTGTCGTGAATCACCCGCCCGACGCTCTTCACCTCGTGCTTGACCCACTGTAAGACGTCTCCCGCAGCGGTTGTGATGGCGTGTCCGACCGCGTCGGCGATGTCTCCGACGGAGTGGATCACATTGCCCACGGTGTTGGCGATGGCGTCGCCTACCTTCTCTGCAGTGTGCACCACGCCATCCACGACCCCATCCACCGCCTTTCCGATATCGCCGGCCGCATGCACAGCCGTACCCACGGGCCCTCCGATCTCATCTCTGATGTGGTCTAGGGCTCGACCGAGATCACCCAGGAAGCTGAAATTGCTGACGTGCACATTCTTGGCGTGCAAGGAGACAGGATGCAAGGGAGCCGGTCGACTCTGACAGAAGGAGGTTGAGTGGGCCACCGTCGCCGCCTTCAGCGATGTCGTCGTGGCCGGAGCCTGAACTGCGGACGGTGTGGTTGCTGATGGACTGGAGGCAGGGCTCTGGGGATTCTTGATATTCTGGTACGCATCTTTGAAGACGCTCAGATGTTGCGCCACCGCCTCAACGGTGCCATCGTCAATCGAGGAGTCAACCAGGGGGATAGAGTCGGGCGATCCGACCACTCCGCCTGCAACGGTCTGATTGGGGAATGCGGCAGCACGCAGCTTGTCGGCAGAGTTGAGAGCGGCGAGCTTGTCGAAGGTGTGATCCATCGGGTTGATTGTAAGGGAGGTATTTGTCAACTTGGCCGTCAACACGGATGCGTGGAGGCTATCGGTGGCCTCAACCACGGCCAGGGCGCCCGTCGCATCGGTAGGCACCTCGACGGGTGCGGCGGACAGCACGTAATACACACCGTTGACATACGCCGGCACCCGACTATTGGCAGACAGTTGGACGATGGTATTCGCCGCGGGGAGATCCCCACCTAGCTGCGTGGCGTGGATGGTCGTAGTGTACGACTTGAAGCTGGTGGCCTTCTGTTGGGGAGCCTCCCCGGCCAGAACGATGTCCTGGATACACCTATGCGTTCAGTTCCGTGTTTGCAGCCGATCGTGATTGGACACTGGTCGGTGTGGCGTTACAGTCTACTTAGCCATTGGTTGAATCAATCGACATACAGAACTTCATGCTAGTTTACCCGTGACTCCCCGCTCTGGGCCCATAAGATCATTCTTGACTTCTATGTCTGGAGCGACAGCCATGCTCCTAGCATCGTCACAACAACTGATCACAATCAAGACTTCGATATCGAGCAAAATGACTTCCCTCAAGTAAGCTGACAGCTCCTGCCTCAGCGGTGTTTCTCATCCTGACCGTCTCACAGCGGAATCTCGGTGTCCTTTACCACTTCCAAGGGAGAGACTATGCTTGGCACCGTTCGCGCCCATGCGGTACGCTCTCTACCCCAAGCCTCGGAGAAGAGACCTACCATAGTGCTGACGTCTACCCAAAAGAACGAGGCATACCAGATAGAATCAGATAGCAAGACTACTGAGGTGGAGGAGGGACACGTGAAGGAGTTTCAGATCCCATACGATCAACCGGGCTAGGGCTCTTGTCGGGGGGAGTCGGTCGGTAGATGTGGTATAAATGAAGATGAAATGTGACCCAACCAAACAATCAAGTCCCCCTAAACTGGGGCCAGATCTACTGAAAGATAAGGCGTATTTTAGTCTGGACGGGCATAGTGCAGATTTGTTGGTTATTTTATTCGCCAGGGCCTGTTTTGGGCGTCGGACAGGCAGTGTATCGAGTGAGAGCGGGGAAGCTAAATCTCATATTGAACTTCCCTCATGCCCTAATTGCCCGGCCTGCACTTCCCTCTCCACAAGTGCACGGTCCGTGAACCAAAGCTTATATGTATAATGGTCAGGGCCCGTTGGCCCATAACCGGCGGCAGCTTAGTACTAAATAGATGAGAACCAAACTATCTCTGTATTAGGGGTTTGGAGGTCTCTTACTGAAGCTGAGCAGTAAAGCGAAAGCCGCATTCGGACAGTTCCGCGAGAATCATGAATCAGCTTTACTGCGACCTTCGAAATATAGTAGCCTGTGGTTAAACAGGTTGAGTACACACGGACAGCCGCATTCTGCAGATGCAGTTCCCTCTGCTGGGAGTATTCACCACGCGATTGACCATTTCCTGATCGAAGTAGATGCATTGTTGCAATTGTCGAACAGGCGGCGAAGTGATCTGTATGGTGCTGCTGTAGCAGTGCAAAGCTGTATGGATAACCCCCCCAAGAATGTTTTTAGTGTTGAATCTGGCGTGAACAGTGATATTGTTATTGCAGTATGTAGGCGCTGCAATTATCCGTCGCATGATCATGGACGAGATTATCTTACTAAACGTTCATGTGACCGGACGGGCCATATAATCGATTATCTTTCGCATAGGATAAATTATACCGTTGCTTTGCCAGCCTGCCATCAATCTTTCTCATCAGAAGATCCGCATTCAAGGTTTTGTTTTTACAGTAGCAACTTGTATTCAGTCTTGTCCTGAGAAGACCAAACAAAAGAACAGAAGAGTTCGGTGCAAGAAACTTAGATGGGTAACCAATAACTCAAATCGTTGGCGAGTGAGAGCAGAAGAGCGGAGAGCGAGGCTTATCAAGCTTATATACAAGGTATCTTGATCGTGTCCACATTCGTAGATGCCTAGTGAAAAAATGAGAACACTTCAATTGACCCCATCTAAGCACACACTAGTTGTATTGAACGAGAGTTACGCACACACAAGCTTTGCCTCGCCTCGTGTATCAATGCTTGGTCCAGCCCACACACACATCGTTCAATTCGAAGGACTCGGTCTTATCTGAAGGCTCAGGGACACAGAACCCTCAAACCCTAAAACCCTGGAACCATAGAGCCCTTGGGCCCTTTATCCTTCCCGATCTAGCTGCGCTGCCCCGCTCTGGGCTCAGCGCTGATATGAGTTAACTTAATTTACCGCCCACTTTACTGTCTATCACCTATGACACCGAATGCAAGCCATTTCAAGTCCACTTTCACGGGGAAGCTCCGTACCAATCTGCCAATATTTTGAATTTTCCCCGAGTTTCTCAGATTCCTCTCCCTTTGCCCTTCCAGTACCTTTTGTTCACCTTGTGTGTAGATTTAGGCTTGACTACCATTCTGGTCAAATATTTCTCCCCTGAGACCAGCATCCGCTCCTTGATGTGCTATCGCCATCAGTATGGATGACTTGGCTCTGAAGAAGGCTTTCAGGAAGACGAGTCACTACAGTCGTGACAATGCTCTGGCCGCCATTCGCGGCCAAAGCATCCCCCCCGGCGGTCGGTCACCCTATTATTCAACTCTGTCTAGTACGCGCCACTGAGCTGCGCTGCAAACATGACAGTGAAGAATATGACATCCAAAAGAGAAGGCCTGTTTACCCTTTATGACGAGTGCAATTGAGAAGATTGAGGAAAGGAGCAAGTGGCCTCATTTCTAGTTGCCTAGAGATGTGTAGACAGGAGATTACAAGCCGATCACTACATGTGCAAGAATTCCATGGTCCTGGAAGATTCAGTATGGCAGTTAGGGCTTTATGGCGGTGGCAAAGAGATCCAAGACAGCGGCTGGGCCGAAGCTTAGCGCTTGTTGAACATGAGTGGGGGCCATCGTCAACTTCATTTCCTTTCGCTCTCTCACACCTATACCTCACATAACTCACACGTTGGTTCGTATCTCTCTGTATCGTTCTAACTATATCACACACGCGACAACCGGCTCTCTTTCTCTCCTCTACAACCCCGCTTCCCAAAAACAGGCAAACCAACAAGCTGGAAACCAACCATGCCCCCCAGCATCTCCACCGAATCCTTCACATACTTCCCGCTCCTGCCTGGTGAGCTCCGCAACCAAATCTGGCGTTTCGCCCTGTCATCTCTGATCAACGACACTTTCCGCCGCCAACGGCTCTGCTACTACCGTCCGCACCGCGGCTACTGGGATCCTCGACGTCTTACCCCGATGGACCCCGAGTATGATCGCGACAACGAAGACCTGAATCTCTCCTTCGAGTTTCACCACGACCGCCTCGATCCGGTAGTGGTCTGTGTTCCTTTCGTGGCTGTGAGTCGCGAAGCGAGGGGATTAGTTCTTCCTCTGCTGAGGGAGGCGGGGTTTGACGAGTACCCCAACGAGAACACCCCGCGGAAGAACGGCGGTGGCGATGCCGAGGGAGACGATGGTTACAAGAGTAGCAGAACTCGAACTGTGTTGTTCACACACCCAGTCGACCCCCTCCACAACCCCCTCTACATCTCCCTCAACCACATCGAGGCATTTCTCACCGAGCCCTGGGACCGCCTCTTCCAACCGGATCTCGATAATCGGCAGGTTAGTCGAACCGCCCCGGCGATGAGGCGGCTGGCGCTGCCGGCGACGGCGCTGGTGGCGCAGGCGGGAAAACCGGGAGTGGTGACCGAGGTGATGGGTGAATTCTACCGGACGGAGCAGGTGTTCTTGGTTGTGGGCGAGCCCTTGCCGGAGTCACAGGGACAGTGGGTGCTCGAGACGGTAGCGGGGGCGCCGGTATGGTGGTGGGATCCGGTCGCGGAGCGGTTGGTCTTGGATGGTGATAGCGCTGGCACTGAAGTGGGTGATGGCCTCGGAGACTCCGTGAAGCAGGTGGCTGAGCTGGTCGAGGCGGAGACCGAGCTTCGAGCTCAGTTGCGCGAGGTCAGTACGCAGAAATTCGTAATACGTGTGGCCGTGGCCGTGGCCGTGCGGTTGGGTTGAAGACAGGGGGCTTCAATCGAGTGAAAACTGCGATTGTAGCATGGCGAACGCGCTCGGAGCATGTCAACCAGAACTTTGCAAGCTATATTACCTTCTTCTTGGCCAGAACTTCAAATCCATCCACACATGGAGCTGATGTTATAGCTATGGATGAGCGTCACAGCACTGGTCTGCCCACAATCCATCGATGTCGAGCTCGGGTAAGATTGGAGTTTTTACCACCGCGATATTTCACCGTAGATACGCTTTTCCCGGAACACCTTTTTTTTTTTTTCAAAGGAAAAAGAAAGGGTATAGACTCTCCATCTAATCAACCTCAGACTTCTGGCTGTTCAGCAAGCTAATGGAAGTACCATGTCAGACCTAAAGTGAAAACATGATCGACAGGAAAGCCTTATGCCCGCCTTGGCGGAGTAGGTCTTCTGCCTCGTGTGGGAAGACAAGATAGAGAGTAGACCAGTCAGCACTGCAGTCAGTCCTCAGACAGGGTTCGCGGGGAAACTGAGTCCATTGTTGCCAGCACTCATCAATCTACCCTAATTACTCGGCCTTCAACCAGTGGGAGATTATGGTCAACAGTCTACAAGGGGCAAACCCTGGTGGAAAATAATTGATACGAAGTTGGAGAATTCAAGAGGAACTCTACCTTGTGTCCAGCCACTCTTTACCACATGCATGTTTGATGAAGGACATCGATGATTATGATTTGTTTGGCTTTGTTTTCAGCTTTGGATCTCAATGCTTTCTTCAACGCAGTTTTTCAATTGTGACCACATAAACGGTCGAATGGGGTTGGCGAAAGTTCCACAATCTGGATCAAGAGCATTATCTCAGTTCGAAAAGGAGTGATTTGAGTAAACCAGTTTCTTCTTCTCCTTCTTCTCCTTTCCTTTCTTCTTTTGTTTCTTACAAATGGGATCACAAGAGGATCTTTCTGACCATGGATATATAATCATCAATCAAAAAGTAGAGCTAGCTACCAACTGAGAACCAAAAAAGCATTCGGCAACTCTCCCCCGAAACCTCAAATGGAGAAATATCACCGATTCATTAGTCAACATGATCAAAGAAAACCTATGCACAATCTATGAGAGAATCAAATCTATGGCTCCCCGTATGTTCCATACCCTTTCCACCCCGCGCGGGAGAAAAAGAAATCTACACCATCGACACCTCCTTCTGCACGACCCCGCCCTCCTCGCGACTCATCGTGGTATACCGACTGAAATCCCGCTTCTCCTCCCTCTCCATCAACCCCCCACTCCGCTTATCTCCCCCCTGCCGCTGTTTCGCCGCCGCCCGCCGGAAATACACCCGCTTGGCCCACTTCCAGCCCTCCGCGCCCACGAAGAACAGCCCGGCCTCGACGAACACCACCCCCCACTCCCACGAGATCCCGATGTGCTTGAAGACTACGTCGTTGATGACGGGGATGTACAGGATCGGGAAGGTGGTCACGAACCCGATCAGGATGCCCGTGAAGAGGAAGCGGTTGCGGCGGAGGGAGGCGAGCCAGCCTCGGAGTCTGGCCAGGAAGGTTTTCGTGCCGGAACGATCCTCGGATCCGGTCGCCGGCAGGCTGAAGAAGCTCCGGCGCAGGTCGACCATTTCCCACGCCAGGAACAGCGCGAACCAGGTCATGCACACGAAGGTCGTGGCGCGCGCGCGGTAGACCGTGTCGCAGGCGGAGGTGTAGTCGCTGTTGCAGCCCGTCGCCAGGTTGCCGTCGCCCCAGGCGAAGAGGACCAACGAGAAGGCCGAGAGGGAGAGCGCCGCCATCCAGACGCCGTAGACGAGGGTGTCGATTATCACTTCCCAGGTGAAGATGCCTTGTTTCTGTTGCGGGGCGTTAGTTTGGCTGGTTCTGTGGGGGAGACGGGGGTGAAGGGCAGGGAGTTAGGGTTAACGTACATTTTGAGGCGGTCTGTCCATGATGTCCGGAGCGGCCACTTCCATCCCCAGTCCCATGTCCGGCAGGCCAGATGTGACCATGATGATCCAGAGGATTTCCACGGGCGCGATGGGGAAGACGGACTGGCCGTTCTCGTCCTTGAAGGCCAGCCCGATGAGTAAGGTCAGGGCGAGGCCGACGTTCTCTGCCAACAGATGCAGGACGAACTTCTGGATGTTGTCGAAGATGCGGCGGCCTTCTTCGATGCCGTTGATGATCGAGGCGAAGTTGTCGTCCGTCAGAACCAATTCCGAAGCGTCCTTGGCGACGTCGGAGCCGGACTGGCCCATGGCGATGCCCACGTCCGCCCGTTTGAGGGACGGGGAGTCGTTGACCCCGTCGCCGGTCATGGCGGCGTACCGGCCGCGTCGGTGCAGGGCGTCGATCATGCGCACCTTGGTGGTGGGCGCGCAGCGGGCAATGACCAGTGGTAGGGTCGGCAGGGCGTCGATCTGCTCGTCGCTCAGCCGGTCGAACTGGCTGGCCGTCATGACCATCGCGTCGGCGACGTCCTGCGCCACGCTGCCCATGTCGCGCGGGATAATCCCGACTTGCGCCGCGATGGCGCGCGCCGTGCCCGGGTGGTCGCCCGTCACCATGTGCACCGTGATGCCCGCGCGCCGACACTCCTCGATCGCCCCCGCCGTCTCCGGGCGCGGCGGATCATACAGCCCGATCAGCCCGCAGAAGATGAGGTCGTTCTCGACCTCCTCGCGCGCGGGCGTCTCGTCGCGGGACTCGATGGGTCGACAGGCCAGCGCGAGCACGCGCAGACCTTCTTTCGCTAAATCCTCCATCTTCTGCAGAATCTCCTGCCTCTTCTCCTCGTCCAGCGGAGTGGCGTCTGCGCCTGCTGTCCAGACGGCCTGCGTGCACGCCTCCAGCACCCGCTCGACTGCACCCTTGGTGAACACCATCTGGGCCGAGGTCTCGGTATTCTCGAAGATCACCGACATCTTCTTGACGGTCGAGTCGAAGGGGTACTCGGCCTTCTGCGTCCAGACCGGGTTGCGGCCGCCCGTCCACCGCTCCCGGCCCCACTGGAACCGCATGGCGAAGACCTGGATGGCGATATCCGTGGGCTCGCCACGGGCCTGCCACTCGTGCGACTCGTCCGAGTAATGCACATGGGCCAGGTTCGCCATGGCAGCGACATTGAGGTACTGCTGCAACAGGGTGCCTGACCCGTGGGCATTCAACAAGCCCTCCCTGCGCGCGTCCCAAGGCTGGCCACGATCCCCTTTCTCAGTGTCTCCCCCCTTATCCTTCTCATTCTCTGCACTCGCCTCCTGCCCAGGAACCAGTCTCACCCCATCCCCATTCCCAGGATCCAAAACATCACCCCCCTCACCCACAACCACCAACCCCCCCACGCCCGCCACCCAAGCCCTCTTGACCACCATCTTCCCCTGCGTCAACGTCCCCGTCTTATCCGAGCAAACATCCTGCACCGCCCCGAGCATCTCGAGACTCTCCAACCGCCTTACCACCACATTCCGACTAACCATCGATCGCGTCCCCGCCGCCATGGTAATCGTCAACACCACCACGAGACACGCCGGAATCATCGCCAGTCCCGTGGCAACCGCATAGATAATGACCTCACGGTCATTCCGCATGCCATTCGCCCCCATTACAACCAAGGCGAACACCACCGCGATCCCGAAGAGCACCAGCGCCAGCGCCGAGAGCTTCCGCTGCAGGGGGGTGCCCGTATTTAGCCCGAGGAAATTGAGGACGTAGGCGCTAGTCGAGAGGAAGAAATTCGCCAGCGGGTTGATCACCTTCTCGCGCTTCTTGGGCGTGTCATCCTCCGGGTTGGTGCGCGGGGTGCGGCGCTTGTAGTGGGTGGATTTGTTGGAGGCGTGCAGGGCGGCAGCAATTAAACCGATCTCGGTGGCCATGCCCGTGCTGGTGATGATGCCGCGCCCGCGGCCCCGCGTGATGGTCGTCGAGCTGTAGGCGATGTTAAGGCGGTCGCCGGGCCCGGTTTCGATCTCATAAGTGTCGTGCGGGGTTTTGGCGATGGGCAGGGATTCGCCGGTGAGCAAAGCTTCGTCGGTTTCGAGGTTCATGGTTTCGATGAGACTGGCGCTGTTAGAATGTTCGCCGTACTGGGGAAAAGTTAGGGTTCATGGGGGTTGGGCGGAGGCACAACTCACCGAACATCGGCAGGCACGGTATCGCCCACCTTCAACTCCACCACATCGCCCACGACCAGCTCCTTGGCCGGCACCGTCTTGGTCTTGCCGTCGCGGGTGACGGTGCCCGTCGGCGAGCTCAGCGACCGCAGCGACCCCATCGTCTTCTCCGCCGCGAAGTCCTGGTACACGCCCACGACGATATTCAGCCCGATCACCGCGGCGATCACCCCGCCTTCGATCCAGGATTGGATCCCGAAGCTGACGGCCATGGCGATGATAAGGACCTGGATGCTGTTAGCTTGTTTCCCCTTCCATCGAAGGTGTAGAGGATAGGGGAAGAGGACAGTCAACGCACCAGCATCATCGCATTCGCCACCTGCCGGATCACAATCGTCACCAACGAGACCCCCTCGTCATCCTCCAGCTCATTCGGCCCATCCTGCTGCAACCGCGTGGCCGCCTCCGCACTGGAGAGGCCCTGGTCCGGGTTCACATGGAGTTCCTGGAGGATGGTCTCCCAGGGTAAGGAGTGCGCCGGTTGTGACAGATGCGTGCGGGGGGTATTGTTGTCGTTCGATCTGGATTTCATCTTCCAATCGAGTCCGGTGGTTCATTCGTTGTAGATTGATACTCAAAAAGCAAAGAAAAGCAAGGGAATCTAATCTATCGGGATGATGTCATAGATGATGGGCAGTTGTGCTCTAAACCATCCAACTCATCGATCGTCTAGATTTCTTTGCTGAATAAAAAAGGATCTAGATTTCGAGCAATCTGATCGATTTGGAATCTGTCCTGGAACCGAGGAACGCAAGGGGACACAGCCTTATATAACTCTATCATCTCCGATTACCTCCATTCACCCACGCTCGGCATACCCTCGCTTGCTTCCGGCGATAAGGCAATTTACTGAGACAGTGGGTGACTTGGGAGGCAATTTGGGGGAAATGTCATGCCCAGAGCCCGCCAAGAGTCCCTCCAGTCCAGTGAGGGGATTCGCCGCTGCGACCATGACGCAGACAATTGTGCTTCTATCCATGGTTCAAGTCTGGGGAAGACCGTGACCGGATGGCCTGCATGGGCTGGGTGGGAGGATGTGATTTGTTGAGCCGGGGAGTGTACTGTATCTTACCCGGTGGTTCACTGCCAAGCTGGTTCCGCAGCGCGGAGAAAGACGGACGAGGCCCAGCCCAGCCCAGCCCTTGGCGGGAAGATGCATCGCATCGCATCGTACAGCTTTCCCTCTGGGCCTCGTGTTTGTTCCCGTTTCCCTTCGGTCCTTCCTGCGTGATGCCGTCCGGCGAAAGAGAGAGAGAGGTCTACTTGAAACAACAAAGCAACACTACATGAGAAAAAAATAATAAAATAGGGGCGAAAACACACTTTAAAGTGTTCCCACCCCCGGTCGGCTGGACCAGTTCTTTTTTTTATCTTTTTCGTTTTTTTGTTTCTCTGACTTTTCTCCCCGCTGCTATCTACTACTGCTACGGCGACTGCATTAGCCCTTTCGACTGGTCTTATGCTTGCTGCTACTTGCCACGGGTGAATGCCCTGCGTGTCGGTCTGACTGTTCTTACATCCACATTTCATGTTCATGTAGGAATACGTTTATACATACATCATACCTCTCGCGCATCGCAGAACTTCACGTGGTCCCCATCGATTCCCTGATCATATTTCGCTTCGCATATCATATATCACTTTTATCAAGTCTCATTGCCGATGGCGGAGCACGACCCTCCCTCCCCAAGTGGCGAAATCGTCGGCGTGATCATCGGAGCCGTGGCTTTGTTCATCGTCATTAGCTTTTTGCCGATGTAAGTTCTTCTCTATCTGCTTTCCCCGCGGCAGTTCAATTGTTCTGTTGGGGCGCCTCATTCGTGAGATATTCGTCATTCGTGGTCTCCGCCCACCCACATGCCCCCCTGCCCCCCTAACCCTCCCTCCAGCCCTACCTAACCCCCCAAAAGGAGCCTCTCCAGGAAACCCGCCAAGATCTTATCTCGTTTTCCGGCATCCCATATATCATGGCGCCAAGATCTTGGGGTGGTCTTGGGATCTTTCTACCTTTCCTTTTTTTTTTTGTTTCGAGTTGGGGTGAAGGATGAAGGAAGGGGAGGGTCGCCGAACAGTGACCTCACCGGACCCGATACACCCTCCCCCTAAACCACCAACCACTATTCAACACAAGATCAAGACTAACAACCTGGCAAAACACAAGAGCTATAACATGGCACCGTCGCCGCCGTCGCGCCGCCACCACCGCCGCCGCCGGCGGCACATCCTCCACCGCGCCCACCTCCGACCCCCACCGGCGGGACAGCGCCCTACAAGCGCTGACAGGCAATCCGTCGATGCAACAGCTCCCCATCAGCGTGGAACGCTGGCTCGAAGAACAAACCCATTCGGGCACGAACGAAACCTGGCATTATGCCCAGGAATCCTGGTACGTTTTACGTGCGTTTTTGTGTCCGGTTGGACGGATTTCCGCATTCGGCGGGGGGAGGGGGGGTCTGGAAACTTTGTTTCGTGTCGGTTGTGCTGGGTTTTCTTGGCTGGCTTGGCCTGGCTTGGCTGGATCGAGTTCGAGTTCGAGTCGAGTTCGAGTCGAGTCGAGTCGAGTCGCTCTTTCCCTGTCGATTTGCGCATGCGTTCTTGCTTCCAGGGCTGGGTTGCTGCTTATGTCATGGTTCATCCTGTCCCCCACCCCGCGTAGTCGGAGGATTTGGTGAGACAGAGGGAAAAGAGGCGAGCCAAGAGGTCCTTCTTGGCGGGATTCCTTGGCGGGATTCCTTGGCGGGATTCCTTGGCGGGGATTTCCTCCCTCCCCTCCCCTTCCGTGCTCCAATGATCCTGAGGGTCTGCGTTGTTATCAGCACCCCCCTCAATCGCATATCTCCGTGGTTTATCGCGATTTGCCCCCCGGTACCGGCACTGGTATTTCCAGAAATTATGTATGCTATTATGCTAATCTTATGCCCCTGCTAGTGCCATCTGTCTCGAGCGCCTCAGAGTGGAAGTGGACCAAGACGAGAAGGTTCCCACGACCATCACCACCAACAACAACAACCTCCCGCCAACACAACCCAAACCCGCCTGGATCCCCCAGCGATACTACCACAGCAGCAGCGGGGCGCTGGCCCCGACCAACGCAGACTCCGATCTCGAACGAGGAGTGGGATTGGGCGATTGGCGCCGCGGGTCGGTGCCGCTATCGCTCTCATCGTCGTGCGGCTCCACGGATCTCGACGCGGAGCACCCCCCAAAAACCGAGAAACCGCAACAGGATGAGGTGGTGGTGCTGAATCGCTGCAACCATGTCTTTCATGCCGCGTGCTTGGTCCTGTGGGTCGAGCAGCATCGGTATCGGTGTCCGATCTGTCAGGCTTCGTTGAAGCAGAATGCGCAGTAGTTGGTGGTTAGTGGAGTTGTGTGTGTGTGTGTGTGTGTGGTTGCCGATTATCCGTCTTTTTGGGTTATGGTTTTTATTTTTGGTGCTGCCGAGTCTGTTCGCCAAGCATGCGTGCAGGTCTCACGGTTGGGATGGGTAAGGGTGGTGTCCCGGTGTTCTTGGGTGTGGTTGGTTGGCGTGTTTTTCTGGAAGATGATGGTTCTGGTCTTGGCTCGGGTCTTGGGATTTGGTGTTGGCGTTTACGTTGCGTTTGCGTTTGCGCGAATCCTGCTATGAAGTAACGTGTGTTGTACTCCCCCCTTTCTTCATCTTGTGTAAGGTTTAGTGTATTGCTGGGTGGGCTTATAGCCTTGCCTCATCGTCAGCGTGCCCGCACGCATCATCCTTGGCAATGACATCCAACCCCCCAGCAGCAGATCTCCTGATTTCTCTTAGTAATGTAAAACTCAACAAGCGAAATACGCATCATGACCAGATCATGCATCATCGCCAAGCAGAACACCAATACTGGCTTCTAGAATCATTCCCTGAAGCCACCGCATGTCGCATGCCTCACGCAGCGTGTCTATTCCCTGTTCGATCGACCACGGACGCCCAGCGACCGGGCTGGAACGTGGTTTTCATGCGAGTCCCTTATACGGCCGCACTCAACCAATCCGCATCGGCAGCCCTCCTACCCCCGGCCCAAAGTCCGAATCCCCCTCTAGCTCCGCAGAATCAGCAGCAGCAGCAGCAGCAACAGCAACAGAAACAAACGGATCACATCCCTGGATCACAATCTCGTCGAACCGCCGACTCACGCGACTGTAGTTCAGCCCGTACCGGCCCAGCTCCTGCAGCCGGATCGACACCCAATCCTGGTAGATGCGGTCCGGGGTCGCAATCCCCGCGATGAACAGCGGCCAGATGATCCGGACCATCAGGTGAGGCCGGCTGCGGTGGAGTTTAAGCGAGAGGGAGAGGACCTGGTTGACTGCTGTCTCCAAGGGAGGGAGGGGTGTAGTGTGATGTTGGTTGGTGGTTGTGGTGGTGGTGGCCGGCGGTGGCGGGACGGTGTCCTTGAAGCAGAGGTGGAAGTACACGATCGTGCCGTAGAAGGTGATGGTCGCCCAGAAGATGGTTTCCAGGACGCGGCGGCTGGCGGTGTCGCAGGTTGGCGCGGTTAGGGCGGTGGTGAGGAGGGAGTCGTTTTCCTGGTTGCGGGTTAGCATGTCTGGGGGAAAGGAAAAGGCGAGCGAGGGGATTGGGGTTGAGGATTGCATGCATACCTCCAGGATCAGACTGAGTTCGTCGACGAGCCGACGATACGATACCGCTGAAGTCTGCTGGCCTTGGCGCCAGAGTTCGGTGATCTTGAACTGCATGACATGGCTTCGGTGGTAGAGGATCAACGCGGGCTGATTCTCGATGTCGTCCAGCTGCGCCGTCGTCGGGTATGAGTCGCCCCAGAAGCGGCGGGGCGATTGGCGGCCGATGCGGTAGAGCTCCGCCAGGCTCAGGCCTTGCTCGGCCTCGTCCTGGATGAAGAACCGGAATAGGTCGGCGTCAAGTCGTGCGGCCGCAGGACCACAGAAGAGGGCCCCCGGGGTGAAGAAGTACAGCGTCCACAGCAGGAAGAGTGGCACCGCGGTGTGGCGGAGTTTGCTGGTCGCCAGCCCAGGCAAAACATTCGTCGGCAACATGGTCGTCTTCTGGGTGTTATCTACAGCGGTGTTCGTCGCATCTCCCCAGGGCAAGGCGCCGGCACCTGTACTTCCACTCTCCGCGATAAGCGCGGGTGCTGATGAAGTAGGTTTCAGCAGCGGAACGACATGGTTGAAGAGCAAGCTCTCGATTCCCCGGATGTGCACATTGATGGCCGCGGTGCCGCTCCCGAAGCGGTTCTCGTAGTCGATCATCAGCCACAAAGTGATGAAGATGGCCTCCAACTGCTCCGACGACTTCTCGACCTCCGGCCGCAATGCCTCCCGCAGACCGGCCAGCGCCCGTCCGTAATGCGCGCGGCCCCCCAGGTCCGCCACCGTCTCGACCGCGTCCCGCGGCTGGTCGCTGTCGTAGAGCTGGGCGCGACGGATCTCGCTCGCCGTGCTCGCCAGCAGCATGCTCATTACCATGGGCTCCCGGACCGCGATCTTGTGGTAGGCGTACGACATGGCGGACCACGGCCAGTGTTTGCCAAGAAGCACGACCAGCACGGAATCTTGGAGGTAGGCGATGCACGAGCGGTCGAAGCCGGTCAGCACAAGCGAGTTGGCCGCTTGCACGGTCCTGCTTTTGCCCCCGGGGGAGGACAGGGTGAGAATCCTAGAAGACTGGGGGGGCGACGGCGCCGTCGTCGTCGTCGCGGAGGGGCTCTTTCGTGTGGTTGTACTATTATGGGCCGGGCTACCCGCATTCCCCTCCGTCTTCTGTACCACTTCCTTGGTCGTGGATGCGGGAGCATTTTTCCTGGCAGCAGGCCGGGGGATAGGGCCGCCCTTCCACTCGCACAGGATGCGGGCGGCGGTGCAACGCCGGCATTGCGGTTCAGGCTGGCCGGGGACAGCCAATTTCTCCTCGTCGCACTTGACCTTGCGGATTCGACACGTGCGACAGCCTGCGTAACGTCAGTCCATCGGGGAATCATTCCAGGATCACTCCTGACAGGGTATCCAAGTGGATCCTCACCGGTCCTGGAGCGAGTCTTCTTGCCGAGCTTATGCATCCCGATAGTGCTGCTGGAGTTCGGCAACGCTCCACTTGGTCATTTGCTCGCGAGGGAGTTATGTCGAGTGGGGGCAGTCAGGGTCATGTATATTCGATTAATGTGAGAGCTGACAGGCTGTAAGCGATGCTACTACACAGATAAGCCAATGCTAAGTGATAGGGAGACTGCAAGGTGAGGGGAAGAGTGCCGATAGTCTCGTCGTCGCGATATTGTACGAAAGGCAGCCAGGCCGGAGGAATAGCCGGGCCGCGCAAAGTACCGAGGCAGACAACGCGATTGGCTGGGTCGGCACTGGTCAGGTGACAGGCAGCAGCCTTGAACCAATCAAAGCTGAAAGCGGAGCCGCTTCGGCAATGCAGCCGATCGATAAGCGGGTGGAAATGGGGTGCCTGATAAGCCGGGCATTAACTGCGGCCAGCATCTCCGCATCTCCGCATCACATCACCAGAGGCCATTCTGACTGTCGAGTCGCACGGATATAAAATAGCGCCCATCATGTCTTGTACTCGCAGCAAGATAACGCCCAAGTGCAAGATTCGTCAAGATGACAGTTCAAACCTCGGCAGAACGCTTCATCGCAAGCGTCCAAGAAGCCCTGCGCAACTATGACACCCAACTACAGAACATCAACCAACAGGTAATCTTCCCAATCCCCAATTCCCAATTAGATATGCAAGCCCATACAGCTCGATTCCCAAGCCCTGGAGTTTCTATTAGCCACTCATCTAACAAGCTCACCAGATCTGGTCCAACCCCGAACTCGCCTACGAGGAACACCAAGCCCACGACGCCATCTGCACCCTGTTCGACACCCTCTCCACCACCACGGACTTCACCTTCACCATCCAGCGCTCCGCCTACGACATCCCCACCGCCTTCGAAATTACCTACACACACGGCGACCCCTCGCGCGGCCGCGTGGTCGCCTTCAACGCCGAATACGACGCCCTGCCCGGCATCGGCCACGCGTGCGGCCACAACCTGATCGCGACGAGCTCCATCGCCGCCTTCCTCGCCACCTGCCACGCCCTGCGCTCTGCGGCCACCACCGCGTCAGCCAGCGACGCTGCCGCCGCCAACGTCACCGTGAAGCTGCTCGGCACGCCCGCCGAGGAATCCGGGGGCGGCAAGATCCAGCTGCTGGAGCGGGGCGCGTACCAGGGCGTGCACGCGTGCCTGATGGTGCACCCGGTGCCGATGGCGCCGCAGAACCCGCGGCTGCTGACGCTGGCGACCGTGCTGCCGGGCGGGTACCTGGCCAACGACAAGCTGCGCGTGACGTTCACGGGGAAGCCGGCGCACGCGGCGGCGGCGCCGTGGGAGGGGGTCAACGCGCTGGACGCGGTGGTGGCGGCGTACGTGAACGTCTCGCTGCTGCGCCAGCAGATCCTGCCCACGCAGCGCGTGCACGGCGTGATTGTCCACGGCGGGGAGCGGCCGAATGTCATCCCGCGCAGTGCGTCCGTGGACTACTATATCCGCTCGCCGACGGTGAAGTCGTTGAAGGGGCTGTCGGAGCGGGTGGTCAAGTGCTTTGAGGCGGCGGCGGTGGCCACGGGGTGCGAGGTGGCGTTTGAGTGGTGAGTTCTCTGCTTTGTGGGGGTGGCTGGAGTGGTATGCTGACTTTGGACTGCAAGGGGCCCCTCGTATGCGGATCTCAAGACGAACAACCCCATCTGCGAGAGCTATGTCGCCGTCATGCGGGCGATGGGTCATCTCACCTTGTTCGACAACACGGGACAGAAGAGTGCGATTACCGGGGCGTCGACGGATCAGGGTGGGTTTTCATTCCGGTTGGTTGGCACTGCGCGGGGTCTCATACTGACGAGCTAGGTAACGTGTCGTACGCCGTGCCCGGCTTCCATGGCATCTTCACCATCCCCACCGACGGGGTCAACCACACGCCCGGATTCACCAAGGGCGCGGGCTCGCTCGAGGCGTACCAGCGGGGGATGGCGTGCGCGGCGGGGATGGCGGTGGTCGCGTGTCAGGTGCTGGTGGACGATGAGTTTGCGGCGCGGGTGCAGAAGGATTTCGAGATGGAGAGGGAGTAGTTGGTGTCGGGTGTAGAGATTGCTTTGTATTCTGGAGGATACATCACGAATCCACACTGTCTCAGGCACTATCAGATCAACCTCTTTATAGCGAATGAATCAAACCAAGTGTCCAAGTACAACATCCGATCCAAAGCATCCAAACTACCGCAACACAATCAACCTTCAAGTATACGAATCATAAATGCCATTCCTCAAAATCTACACACTAAAGCAATCACAAGCTAGTCGCGACCTGCGCAGACACCTCCCTCACCTTCTCCTCCAACACAGCGGCCTGCTCGGCCTCCTCCTTCTTGCCGGGCGCCTCAGCCTCCAAGCCCTCCCGCTCAAAGCTCTTCATCGGATAATAGCCCCAGCGCTCCATCATCTCACGATCCTCATCCCACCCATTGCAATCCGTCGTCAGCATCTTCTCACCGGTGAACACCGCATTAGCGCCCGCCTGGAAACACGCGATCTGCTGCTCCTCACTCAACGAGATGCGGCCCGCAGCCAACCGCACAATCGTCGCCGGCAAGACGACTCGGGCCGTGGCCACGGTCCGCAACAAGCGATCGAACGGGATCATCTTGCGATCGCCCAAGGGGGTGCCCGGGATCGGCACGAGGGCATTCACCGGAAAGCTCTCGGGGTGCTTGGGGAGATTGGCCACGGTGAAGATCAACCCCACGCGGTCCGCATCCTTCTCGCCCAACCCCAGGATGCCCCCGCTGCACACATTGATGCCCGCATCGCGCACGTTCGCCAGCGTGCGCAGCCGCTCGTCGTACGAGCGCGTCGTGATGATGGACGGGTAGAACTCGCGCGAGGTGTCGAGGTTGTGGTTGTAGGCCGTCAGGCCGGCATCCTTCAATTCCTTGGCCTGCGCCTCGTCGATCATCCCCAGCGTCACGCACACCTCCATCCCCATCTCGCGCACGCCGCTGACCATCGACTTGATGTTCTTGAGCGACGTCTTGCGGCCCCGCATGTCGCGCCACGCCGCGCCCATGCAGAACCGCGTCGATCCGTTGGCCTTGGCGGTGCGGGCGGCCGTGAGCACCTCGTCCACAGCGGACATCTTGGTGGCTTTCAGGCCTGTGTTGTGCCGCGTGGATTGCGCGCAGTAGCTGCAGTCTTCGCTGCAGCCGCCGGTTTTGATGTTCATGAGGGTGCACATTTGGATGGCGGAGGGGTCGTGGAACTTGCGGTGGATGAGGGACTATTCTCGCTGCGTTAGTGAGGGTTGAGGGGGGCGGGGGGGATTGTGTGGTCTGGGTGGAAGGGATGGGTGTCGTGGTTAATTGGTCTTTAATTCGAGGTATACTGACAGCAGCATAGGTCAACTGGTTCAACGGGGTATCATAGATCTGCTGGATCTCCTCCTTGGTCCAGTTGGTGCGTGGCGTGGTGGCATCGGTCGCCTCACGCAGCACCGCCGGCACTCGACTGGCCAGCGCCGCCGCACTGGGCGAGGTCGACTGCACCGTGCCGTACGCGCGGCGGAAGGCCGTCCGCGGGAGGACTTGTCGTAGCGAGATCATTCTCAAGTGTGAGTGTGTGTGTGTTTTCTTTAAGGAAAAAAAAATTGAGAGAAAGGTCAAAACAATGAAGAGAAGAAAGAAAAGGGTGGTGTGGGAGGAGATGCAGGAAGAAAGAGGGGGAGGGAGGGATGGATGGATGACTGCAATGAACTAGACCGGGGTTCGGAGTTGCTTGGTGAGTCTAACAGTCTATCTACGATGGTGACTGGGCTAGTTGTCCAGCAACCCCCCGAACACGGACAGGGCAGCTACTCAGTGCTGGACAAGCTTCACACAACCTCGGGCTGGAGAGGGGCAGGAGGGGCAGGAGGGGCAGGCTGTGGTGGTCACGGTGGTCACGGTGGTCACTGGGGGGGCTACAGGCAACACCCTCACCGGTCGTGTTGACCCCAACCGCTGAGGGTTCAACCCCCCATGCAGCGTGCAATTGACTTCAACGGGACTTGCAGATCCAACTCACAGTCTCACACACTCACTCACTCACCACCAGGCCAGACTCCTCCGACACCGTGCTCCACCTTTCTGGGATCCATCATCCTCGGACCAAAGGAGACCCGCGGATTGAAACAGTCCCGATTGTCATTTCGATCAGTCTATTTGGTTGGTCAGGTACCCGCCACACTATGGGGAAAAGTGCCGCCGGTGATGTCAATCAAGTTGAATCAAGTCGAATCAACACAAAATAAACACCGCATTTGCCTACGGCCTGATTGGTGGATAAGCGGGAAGACCGCCCGGTGAAAGAATGGATGGATTACTCAGCGCTGAGTTATGGGCTACGGCCAAGCAGGCCAGATTTTCAGGCCAAAGTGGACAAAGCGCGATTACGAGTACGAGTAAATGAAAACCAAACGAATTATTTGGGATTTGGTAACCAATTGAATAAACTTTTGAACAACAGAGATGCATGTACAATCAAATCCTCTTGCTCAAAACAAGAGCCGGCTATATACACAATACACAACTTTTCCCTTGTATGTACATTTCCTATCAGTAGAATCTCGGCAGAATTCTCCCCCGGAGAACTGTCTTCCCCCACCGACAAGGCGAGAACCTACAGCAATCCCCCCCGCAATACTTCCTCAATTGCCCGAAGCGACGCCGGCTTGGACGTCACGCTCGACATCAGATACAGTACATTCCCGAGTACCCGCGAATGCACCGCGAACTGCTCCGAGCCCGCGGCTAAGCGTTGCTGCAGCCCCTGCGCCGCCCGGGAGGTGTAGCCGCCGCCGTGCTGATCCTTGAGGGCGATGCTCAGCACCGTGCCCAGCGCAAACACCCCCTCAACCGAGGCCGCCTGCGACAGATCCCGCACCAGCTCGTGGGACCAGACGCTCCAGACCGAAGGACCCGTCGTAGTAGCCCCCGCAGGGGCAACAGCAGCAGCAGCAGCAGCAGCACGGCCGCTGCTAGCCACCGTCCAATCGCGCTGGTACCCCTGCCAGGCCCCCTCGCGCTCCATCCGCATCATCGTCTGCAGCGAGTCCACCGCCACCTGGCAGCCCACCGCGTGCGCGGTGTAACTGTGGCCATGCAGCAGCGCATCGGTCTTGTCGTCGCTCAAAAAGGCCCGGAAGATCGGCTCGCTGGCCAGCGTGGTGCACAGCGGCACGAGGCCGCCGGTGAGCAGCTTGGCGTTGACGGAGATGTCGGGCTGCACCTGCAGGAAGGAGGCGGCCGATCGCCGCCCTAATCGGTACAGCCCGGTGAAGACCTCGTCGAAGATGATAGGCAGCCCCGACCAGTCATTTGCTTGCGCGGGCGGGGAGGTTTGAGGGGCAAACAGCTCCGGGTGTTGGCGCACCACGTCCGCCAGACACCGCTGGAACAGGGGGTCACTGTTGCCCTAAGTCAGCCACAACAAAGTTCTTGACACGGAGGAGGGGGGAAATTCATAAGAAGAATACTCACCAGAACAACATTCCGCCCGCACCCAGAATGATTGGCTCCATCATCAGCGCGCCAAACTTAATCCCCTCCTGCTGCACTAGCCGTTGGATGGTCTGGTGAATATACTCCCGATACCGCTGGCCCGCCTCGGAGTCCACTCTCTGCTCCAGATCAAACACCTCCGACAGGGATCCAAACTGCAGCTCATCGCCCAGCGCCTTCTCGGGCATGCGGATCTTCCACACCCCATCCTTCATCCCCACCTGGGGAAATTCAAACCAATGGCCCCGGCCCCGATACCACTCCACCTTCTTGTTGTACGTCGAGGGCTCCGAGCAATCCATCACCCCGATCGTATCCCCATGATAGCTGCCCTTCAACCCCAGGATCCGGATGGGTTCCGCGCTCGCATCCCACCCGTACCGGGCGCACGCCGCCCGCAGGCCCATCTTGACCGCCACCTCCATGCCCGTACTGCCATTATCCGTATAGAACACCCTCTTGAGCCGGGGATTCTCCTGACTCTGGAGCACCGTCTCCGCCAGCGCCAGCGCCGGCTCGTGGATATTCCCGGGGAGCATGACATGCCCATATCTCCCGGCTGCGTACGCCGCCGAGAGCGCGAGATCGGGGTTCCCATGGCCCAACCCCTGCGTCCACCACGAGGCGGACCCATCGAACGTCGAGCGTAGTGCACCGTTCCCATCAATGGGATTCCCAACCGTCTCCTGACGATAACTCTGGAAATAATCCCCATACGCCGAGTCAATGACCGAGATATCCTTGGCCGTCACCCCCTGATGCTGCGTGAACGGATACCAGATCGTCGCCTCGGCCTTGCGCGCCATCTCCTCCAACCGCTCCCAGCGCTCCGTGTGCTTGCGCTCCAGCGCCTCGACCACCGCGCCCAGCCGGCCCTCCCGCCCCGTGCGCTCATAGTACCGTCCCATCGCCTCCGCATCCTTAGCGGCTGCACCCGCCGCCCGCGAATCCGGCCGCGCCGGCGGCGGCGGCACCGCGACGAGCGGGATCGCCTTCTTGGCGAAGTACTCCTGCAGGTAGCTGTGGTTCTGGTAGTAGTCGTCCCGGAACAGCAGCACGGAGTGCACGTCGTACCCGCGCAGGAGGAGGGACTCGTAGGCGGAGATGGAGGCCGAGATGCCCCCCAGCCGGGAGTCGGCGATCAGGATGATGGGCAGCCGGAGCGGGCGGTAGAGGTCCGCCTGCGAGGTGCCGTTGGGGCCCGGGGAGTGGACCCCACCGGCGGTCTCGACGAGGGCGTGTTTGGTGGCGGTTTGCGACGACCACGTGCTCAGGGTGTGGTGGATGGCGTCGAGGAGTTGGGGGTCGCTGGGCACGGTGGTGGTGGTGGTGGGCGTGTGGGCGGCGAGGTGCGGGCTGACGGGGTCGGCGAATTGGTAGAGGCATTTGGTCTGCGTGTGCGGGGCGTAGCGTTGGATGTGGCTGCAGCGTTTGGTTAAGTTAGTATGTGCTGGTATAGTTGTGTGTGTGTGTGTGTGTGTGTTCAATAGGAGCAACCGTACCGATCATCAGCTTCGTCTAATGGCCCCGTGGAGACGGGCTTGAGGAAGCCCACCGGTCCGTGATGCTGTAAGGCGTTGCATAGTAGGGTTGAGACAATGGTCTTGCCGACATCGGTGTTGGCGCCGTAGACCTGGTGGGCGCGCAGAGAGCGCCAGAGCGCGGCGGCTGGCATTTTTGGGGGGGGATGATTCAATTGCAAACTCAATGGCAGGTTCTCAATTCCTTCATCACAATTCTCAGCTGCAAGTCACAGCACTTGTAAGTTGTTGTAGCTTCCTCCAGGGCCGAGGTCGAGTGTCTCTCCGGTGGGAGGAAACGGAAGTGGGGAAAAGAAAAGCGGGCGAAGAGACAATCAGGAACGATAAGGTAAGAATGGGACAATGACGAAAAAAGAAGCTCCGAACCGAGGATGAAAACTAAAAGCCGGCCGGCAAGGCAGTCTGAAAGGAAAGGCTGGAGTGGAGCCGCCCTCAACAGTCAACAGTTTTCCATTTGCATTGCCAAACAGATTTGCTGGGGGGTTTCTGGTCGGTTTCTAGTTCAGTTCCTCGGGGCAAGGTTGAATCTGACTGACTATTAGGCAGAACGATGACTCTTACCTTATTCTCAGGCCCCCTGCCCTGCCCTGTCCTGCCCTGCCCTGCCCCATTCCGCGTTGTAGGTAGCCACCAACCATGAAGCCAGCTAACGGTACGTTAGCCCTAGTTCACCTGGTTAATCACGGAGTAACTAAACCACTAAGTCACCTACTCGTAAATTAATTGCCTTACTCCACCTTCTTCCACCTTCTCCGAGATTGAGCTGATTGCTTGGCCTCGAACTAATTTCTGAACTACCGATCCAGACTAGACGAATGGGAGTGATTGCACATGAATTGACTTAAAATACTCCAGACTCATATAGCCCACCGGATCCCCAGACTGTAGGCATGTACTGTACATCGTAGCCTGCTGTACATCCCGTAAAACCCTCATCCACCATGTCCCCCTCACCATCGTTACCAACACCGCATACCCCCCTGCGGCAAACCCTGCGGCAAACCCTCCAGCACCGCGCCCGCAACAACACCCTCCGCAAACTGACCCTCCCCGCCTCAAATGCCACCGACTTCTCCTCGAACGACTTCCTCTCGCTCGCCACGAACCCCCTCTACCGCGCCCGCTACCTGCACCACCTAACCACCCTCCCACCCTCCCACCCGCTCGCCAGCGGCGGCTCGCGCCTCCTCGACGGCAACTCCGCCTACACCGAAGCCCTCGAATCCTTCCTCGCAAACTTCCACCACAGTGAATCCGCCCTCCTCTTCAACAGCGGCTTCGACGCCAACTGGGGGGTGCTCTCCACGCTCCCGCAGCCGAATGATCTGATTCTGTACGACGAGGCCATCCACGCCAGCGCCCACGAGGGCATGCGGCGGTCCCGCGCCGCCCAAGCCCTGGCGTTCCGGCATAGCTGCCCCGAAAGTCTTCACGCGGTGCTCAGCGCTCAGATCGACGCGGACCCGGGCTTGCGGGACGGGGCCCGGAATGTGTTTGTGGTGGTGGAGAGCGTGTACAGTATGGACGGGGACGTGGCGCCGTTGGCCGAGTTTGTGGCCGTCGTGGATGCGCTCCTGCCTCGCGGGAATGGGTATTGGGTCGTGGATGAGGCGCATGCCACCGGGGTGTGTGGGCCCAAGGGGGCCGGGGTGGTGCAGGGCTTGGGGTTGGAGGGACGGATGTTTGTGCGGGTGCATACGTTTGGGAAGGCGCTGGGGTGTCATGGTGGTATGTTTTTTTTTTTTTTTTTTTTTTTTTTTTTTTTTTTTTCAAGATGAATGGAGTTGAGGGGGGAGGAAGGGTTTGATGCTGGCTAACAGGAGTGTGGCGTGTAGCGGTCGTGCTGTGTGATCCTGATACAAGGGAGTATCTCATCAATTACGCGCGGAGTCTGATTTATACGACCGCGCTGGGGTTTCCATTTCTCGCGGCGATCCGCACGGCGTATGAGTTGTTGGAGGGTGGGGAGACGGTCGAGGTGAGTGGCCCCTGCTTCGCATGGGAAAAAACAAGTATTGGGATATGTAAGCTGACGCGATGCAGTTGCAAGAAACGCTGCACCAGCGGATCCGGTATCTCCGGGAGCGATTAAGCGCGATCCAGCCGGTCGACGCGACGCTGTTCGCCCTGGACCACCATCCGGGGTCCCCGATCTTCTCGCTGCGGTGCGCCTTGCCGCGGCGACTGGCTGCCGCGTGCCAGGCCCGCGGGTACGTCGTGCGCGCCATCTTGCCGCCCACGGTTCCGGCGGGCCAGGAGCGCGTGCGCGTGTGTCTCCATGCGGGGAATACGGAAGACGAGATTGATGGGCTGGTGGAGACGATCGTGGAGTGGTTGGAGGAGGCGCAGGGCGAGGCGCAGATGCAGGTTGCCAAGATTGCGCGGTTGTGAGGGTTGCAGCTGGAAGTATGCTGGATGCATATGCATATGTTAGACACGTATATATGGGAGGAGTTCTTGCATTCGCCAAACATCATAAGGAAAACAGAGGGTGAAACTATATATGGAGAAGGTCTAGTAGTAGATCTGAGAACAAACAGCATATTGCTTTCAACTAGGTTACCTGAGATTCGCATGCGTACATGTACGGACGAATTCACTCACTGGAGATTACGATACGCCGCCTCGGGATTATAACCCATATCCAGGCGGAACTCCAGATCGACCGGGTCCACCACTCCGACGCCATTCTTGAGATCGAGAATGATCCCCTCCTGGGCCATGAGGGAGGAGCCCAGCACGAGAGACAAGGTGTCCGACGTCCCGGGAACGCAAAAGGCCCGGACGACGATGCGTGCCCAGCGCCGGTCCGCGTTGGGCCGGCCCAGATGCTCGGGGATAAACAGGTGGAAGACCGCGTACTCGGTCACCTCGTGCTGGACGTCCTCCTGGTCCCAGCTATGCACCATGAAGGGCGACTCGCAGGGACGGATCTCGGCCCCGGGGATATCGCGCGCGTGGTCGGGTCTCATGATGCTAAACGGGGCGCCGGTGTCCAGGGCCACCGAGCAGAGTCGCTTCGTCGTCCCCAGCCCCACCCGCGTCTTCACGTTGCTCCAGCCGGCCAGCTGCCGCGAGCAGCCCGCCCACAGGGCGTCCTCGAAGCAGAAGTTCGGCGAGATCACCAGTTTCGCCGCCGAGAGGGAACACACCGCCTCCGATTCGTAGTCGGTGGAGGAAAAGGGGATCCGGAGGGCCGGGTCGTGCTCCTTCCAGTCTTCCGCGGTGTGGTGGGGTGGGTGGTCCTCGTGGCTGGTACTGGTGTAGGAGTGGCTGGAATGTCTCTTCTGGGATTCAGGGTGGTGCTTCTTGGACGAATGGTCAGAGGCCTTGTGATCCTTCTTGTCCTTGCTCGAATGGTGCTTGGGCCGGACCATCTTGCCATTGGCAATGTCAATATACGCACCATCGAAGGGGAACATGGTGATAATGGTGTCTGTTCCGAGCTCAAAATCTTTGGAGGTAAGTGGTTGTCTCGTAGCGATTCGTGCTTGACAAGGGCTCGGATATAAGCCTTTTGATTTTCATGGACCAGAGGCCTTCATGAGAGTTATATACCAAACCGTGAAGATGCTCAACACTGCTTCTCTGTCGCCAAAGAAGTTTGTTGATCTTTGTATAATCGCATAATGAAGGCTCGAGGAAGCCTTGTGATGGAAGAGCATTGTGAAGAAGATTACAGACTCGAAACAAGGAGTTGGATGAGTGAACACACAAAGCTGCAGGTTGTAAACAAAGAGAAGGGCACTTAAAACAAACCAACATCGAAGGAGGTGTTCAGTGTCCCTGGGGCTGTCGAGGTTGCACCAGGGCCCTCTTTTGATCAAATTGTCTGCACGGTAGGATACAGCCATACTGACTAAGCCGACTCTGCTGGGATCGTACAGTATATTATTATCACTGTTCTGTCTCAATGTTACTGTTACAGGAGATTATGAGAAATGAACTGTGTGCATAAAGGCGTTGTTTGATCACAAATTCAAATTCTATCATGTCACTATGAACTCTGCCTCAGTCCACCCCATAGCGCCGCGGCAATGCTAGCAAGTGTCTCGGTACTCTACTGTCTTTCGATGACGCAAAAATAATTTGAAGGAAGTTCGTTATACGAAAATAGACGACATTTCAAGAACAAAGTAAAGAAAAAGAAATCATTGACATTCTAGTAATCCCCAAAGTAATCGCAGAATCACAATCTAAGTAAGAGTCACAATCTAGGAGCACCAATCTAAGAGTCTAGTCAAACCGAGCCAGCATCGCTTCATGCAGAACCCTCCATACCACCGAAAAAGCGCTTGAAAATTTTTGCCGCGACAATTTCACTCTTGGGAGTATCTTTCCGGGGAAAGAGTCCCAGCGTGTCCTCAGCAACCAGCCCCAACAGGCACCAGGAATGCCATCTCGTCGTCTTGGGCGCGCTCCCGGGCCGTCCTCCTGGATAGTTATTCCAGATGAGCGGGCTGTCGTCCAGCAGCTTCTTACACCGGTGGCATCTCATCACTGGGGGAGTGCCAGTTCGCGGGGTGCAAGACGCGGCCGCAGGAGTTCCGGCAGGACCATTGGAACGGGTCGGCAGACTAGATAAAACCGGACGCGAGGGGTGACTGCTCGAGCGTGTGCGGGCCGCAGTCGGGATACCGCTGGTAGAGACGGTGCGTCCAGGCGTCACGATGTTGGCGTGCACGATGGGCCGGGCAGTGGCAGTGGTAGCATGCGGTGGTGGAGCGAGTTTCCTTCGGGGAAGCTGCAGCTCTCCTCGGATGTAGCTGGGCACTCGGTTGTCTGTGAACTTGTCAGCTAGTCGCTGGGTATCGCCTTGGCTGGTGTACATTGTGTCAGCAGGTTCTCGAAAGAGGTCAAGATTATCGGAGTTGATCCACTGGCTACCCATGACTACGAGTTAGTGAACGTAGACTGACGGTAGTCAAAGGCTCACAGATCAGGCTGGGTTAAAGATGGGATAGATCCAAGCCCGATGTTGCTCAGCACTGAGAGTGCGCAAAATGGGCGAAGGGTTGTTTATATAGCATGGAATGGGTATTTGTTGTGATGGAGGATGGAGGAGATTGTCGGGGAAAGATAAAAAGGGCGATGATATCAGAGGATCAGATAAGCCTCAGGGATCCTTTCTTCCCCTCACCTCCTCCACCTTCTCCTCTCTCTTTCATCTTCCTCTCCCTCACAATCTCTTTGTTCTCTACCATAGTACTGTTCACTTCTTTGTTCTGTTGAAGATAATCTCCGATAATCTCTCATTATGACGGTAGACGCCCCCTACGATATCCTCATTGTTGGAGCGGGGATCTTCGGTGTCAGTACGGCTTACCATCTATCGCGCCAATCGCCGCAGCCACGCGTCCTCCTCCTCGATCGCAGTCCTGCACCACCGTCCCCTGCAGCTTCTACTGATATCAACAAGATCATCCGCGCGGATTACTCCAATCCGCTCTACATGACCCTCGGATTTGAGGCCTTGGACGCCTGGAATTCCCTCCCCAGCTTCCGAGCCGCCGGAGTCCACCATCCGTCTGGATGGATCTGCATGGACGAGAAAGACAGCGATACCGCCATCCGCGTTCGCCAGAATTTCCACCGCGCCGGTCGCGATGACTGCGTCGTCGACATGACAGAGGCGGAAGTCCGCGAGTCGTGGGGCGGACTGCTCCGACAGACCGACTGCTCGCCGTTCGGGTCCTACTACTTCAACCCCTCCGCGGGCTGGGCCGACGCGGGCAAGGCGCTACAGATCCTGACGCAGGAGGCCGTCCAGCGGGGCGTCCGGTTTGAAATCGGCGAGGCGCGTTGCATCATGCGGGACGACACCGGCGCGCTCGGGGTGAAGACCGCCGACGGGACGGTCTACACAGCCGAGAAGATCGTTCTGGCGACCAGTGCGTGGACGAGTCAGCTCATGTCGTCCATCGAGGATGAGCTCGATCTGCCCGAGGCGGACCGGGTCGAGCGACAGATCACCGCTGCAGGGGTGTGCGTTTCGCATTTCCGGCTGTCGGCGGCAGAGCACGAGCGGTACGCACAGCTGCCGGTTTTTGTTTATGGTGGGCAAGGTGAGTTTATTCTTTTTTTTTTTTTTTGTTTGTCAATACCTGCAAAGCTCACGATTGTCCAGGAGAGGTGATTCCGCCTACGGCAGACGGGATCCTCAAGTTTACGACGGCCTCCTCTTTCACCAACACCATCCGCACCGCATCAGGACACGATATTTCTGTGCCGGTGTCTGATCAGTTGACAGTCCCGGAAAGGCTGCAGGAGGCGCACCTGAAGGAAATCCGCCCCCGACTGCCCGAGCTGCTGGACCAAGGACGTCGCCAGCCCGAGTGGTACCGCCTCTGCTGGGACGCCATCTCCCCCAGCCAGCATCCGCTAATCACTCGGCATCCCGACCCTCGGCTAGCCAACCTTTATCTCGCCGTGGGAGGCTCATTCCACAGCTACAAGTTTCTCCCAACGATTGGGCAGTATGTGGTGAACGTGCTGCAAGGGGTGAGCAACGGGCCCGAGAAAGACGAGGCGTGGGCGTGGAAGACAATCCAGCCGAGCGAAAAGGGCGTGCATGAGAAATTGATTCCTACCACGGAGTATCGAGACTTGGTGTGATTGGTGTGAGGTGGCGTTGGACACAGCACAGCCGAGTGCACGGTTGGGGTAATACGAGGACGCGTGGCTGCCGATGCGGGGGATGCAATTAGCTCGATCCATTCATGCAATAACTCACCGACTGTTAAGGATTCATTCCTTCACGTTCTGGCCAGCCTGATAAGCTTGTTAGGCGAGGTTAGTAGTCCTCGTAGCCGACCGAGGAATTGTACGAGTGGCATTCTTCGGTGGGTCGAATTCATTACTCACTCACCCAGATGGATTTTCCACACAACACAGAACACAAAAGCAATACCCAACTCGGAGACAAAAAAGCTCAATAATGAGGCAAAAAAAAAAAAAAAAAAAAAAAAATAGGCCTTCTGGAAAGGCCGACGGCCAATGAAAGTAAAACAGCTGGACCCCGCAGGTCAAGTTTCTGTCTGTGCATGAAGCGTTGAGCCGGAATGGGCGGACGAGCCGAGGTGTCCGGCAATTCAACCTTTGCCCCCTTCAAATACAGTATGCGACCCACCCAACACCAACCCTGGCGCGCTTATCCTCAACAACTTCATCATGGCGTTAGGTATGTACAACTCTCGCTCTTCGGTTTCAATATGACATACTGACGGCTGCAGCAACCGCTGCCGCGATAACGGCCGCCGCGTATCTCAATGCCAAGTTCCATCTGACCAAAGATCTAGCGGTGCTGCGCACTGTGCGGCAGGCAACCCGCAGCACTCAGCAAGCCCAAAGCCGAGGCCAGGTCAACCTGTGGTTCAATTTCGTTGAGACCGCTACCAAGTACCCCGATCTGGCCGCCATCTGGACGCGTGAGCGGTCATTCACCTATGGCGAGGTGCTCGCCGCGGCCGCCCGCTACGCCCAGTTCTATCGCCACCGCGGCGTGCAACCAGGCGACCTGGTCGCATTCTACCTCCAGAACCGCGCAGAGTTCATCTTCGCGTGGCTGGGTCTGTGGAGTATCGGCGCTGCCCCGGCGGCCATCAACTACCATCTCACCGGCGATGCGCTGGTGCACAGCCTGGCCCTCAGCGGCGCAAAGCTCCTGCTGGTGGATCCGGACGCGGAATGCCAGGCGCGGATTCACGAACGACGAGCCACTTTGGAGACCGAACTGGGCTTGACCCTGATCACCCTGGACGAAACCTTCACCACCACCGTCCTCGCGACTCTGCCGGCAGAGGTTCCGGAAGACGGCCAGCTGGCGCGCGAAATCACAGGCAACTCACCGGCCATCCTGCTCTACACCTCCGGCACCACGGGACTGCCGAAGGGATGCCCCTTCCGGATGGAGCGACTGCACATCGCCGTGGGGCTGCGGGCGTACTCAACGCGCGACCAGGTCGGCCCCGGCGGCGACCGGTGGTACAGCGCGATGCCGCTGTACCACGGCACGTCGGCGGTGGCGCTGATCGTGGCGCTGGTGCGCGGGACGAGCATCGCGATCGCGCCGCGCTTCAGCGTGCGCACCTTCTGGCGCGACGTGCGCGACGCCCAGGCGACGGCCTTCGTCTACGTCGGCGAGACCGCCCGGTACCTGCTGGCGGCGCCGCCGTCGCCGCTGGACCGCGCGCACCGCGTGCGCCTGATGTACGGCAACGGCTTGCGGCCGGACGTGTGGACGCGCTTCCAGGAGCGGTTCGGCATCGCCGAGGTGGGCGAGTTCTTCAACAGCACCGAGGGCGTGTTTAGCCTGTACAACTACAACCGGGGGCCCTTCACCGCCAGCGCCGTCGGCCACCACGGCGCCCTGTCCCGCTGGCTCATGCGCGGCGTCTACGCCCCGGTCGCCATCGACCCGCACACCGGGGATGTCCAGCGCGACCCGGCCACCGGGTTCGCGGGGCGCCAGCCCTACGAGGTCGGCGGCGAGATGCTCGTGCGCGTGCCCGCCGAGTCGGCGTTCCCGGGCTACTGGCGCAACCAGGAGGCCACGGACAAGAAGTTCCTGCGCGATGTGTTCCAGCCGGGCGATCTGTGGTATCGGTCCGGGGATGCCCTGCGACGGGACGCCGACGGCCGGTGGTATTTCCTCGACCGCTTGGGCGATACCTTCCGATGGAAGAGTGAGAATGTGTAAGCTCCCCCAAACCTGGGTCGGGACCAGGCCAGATATGTCCCACCCGCCCAAAACCAAGCTGTCCCCTGAAACTCAAGCTAACCGATGGCAACAGATCCACCGCCGAGGTCTCCCACGCCCTAGGCGAATATCCCGGGATCCAGGAAGCCAACGTCTACGGCGTGCTGGTGCCCTCGCACGACGGTCGCGCCGGCTGCGCCGCCCTGCAACTGAGCCCCGAGGCAGCCGCCAAGGGAGCCTTGGATCTCACGGCGCTGGCGCAGTTCGCGCGCGCCCGGCTCCCGCGCTACGCGGTGCCGGTGTTCCTGCGGCTGGTGACGCAGACCTCGCACATCCACAACCACAAGCAGAATAAAGTCCCCTTGCGCGAGGAAGGGATTGAGCCGGCGAAACTGGGGACCCACGTGGCGGGCGGCCAGAGTGATCGGTTGTATTGGTTGCCGCCTGGGGCCGAGGGATATCTGCCTTTTGGCGAGAAGGACTGGAGGCGGTTAGTTGGGGGTGAAGCGAAGTTGTGAGAAGCGGCGAGTAGATATCCGGAAGTAGTTGACTTTTCCATAGTTCTTTTTTTTTTTTTTTTTTTTTTTTTTTTTTGAGCTGTTCGCGTAGAGTAGCTCGAGATTGAGAGGGTAGCGAGCATGTCAGGCTTAATTCTTCTATCGCGGAAGTCTCCGGACTCGTTTTGTACGAACTCCTGGTGAGTCGTGCCATTGAGGGAACTTCATCCGCGGAGTCCACTGTATGTTATACATGGGGTACTGTCCTGTTACTGTACTGTGCTGAACATGATGATTCTGTTGCTCGGTCTGCCGTGGATTGGTCTATTGACCTTGTCGGCCCCCCAGCTACGACATAGTAGAGATAGTTCGATGCCTCGATCGCCGGACGACTCTCCAAGACAATCTTACTCGGTACGCTGTTTTATGTCCTGAGCTACGATGCGGAAATTTATCCCGTCTCGACGAAGTGGACTGGTCCGGCGCAGCAAGACGTTCTCTACCACTACCGGCCTCAGGGCTTCCGTCACATAATCAACATCAATTTATGGTAAACGAAAAGATAAAAAAAAAAAAAAAAAGGCAGCATGCACCAGTCTGTTGAAGAAGGTGTTCAGCGCAAAAGCAAAAGCAAATATATGAACTCATGAACCATAATTTTCGTGTCCTTCATCAAAACATTCATATCATAAAAGAGTGGCTGGGGAATGAGCCAAGCCCTGATTATCCCTCCGCCGGTCTGTAATACTCTCATCCATCCATCCACCCTTCCGACCTTCCCCTGAGATTCAAGGTACCGGGTCACCTCGGAGTAGCGGCATACTCACTCCGCGATAATGTTCTGGGTCGACCCAAAATATAGGACACGAATTCTAGCGATGTCCGGGGCACAGAATGTGTCGTGGGCTGGGGGTATTATAGGCGTTGTCGTAGCAGCCCTTTCCATCTCCGCCTCCGTTCTGCGCGGCGCACTGTATCAAGAGGGATCCAGGTCAGACGCGATGTCGGGGTGCGGGATTGGTAAGGGAAATGAATCTTACCGAGCCCTCGTCGCAGGGACTGTATATCAAGCCACATTAGTGTACTGTACTGCGGCCCCAACCCCGAGAGATCCAAGAGCAGAAAGTAGGTAGTCAGTAGACCAATTTACTAATTGGTGAGACCGATTTTGCAGCTTGTACCGTTGCATTTCTGGTGGTCGAAAAATTATCATTAGATTTAGATTCAGTCTTGAGGAGGTAGATTGAGGAGGTGGGG